AAATTGGTTACCTCGCCTTTGCGTTGCATTAAAAATGTTGTTGGAGGACGAAGGCTGTCCCAGCTCTTCATCCTCGGCCGCACGCACCGCGTCCTTCAGCTGCGAGTAGTCCCTGGCTGATATGATCGTGCTTAGCCGCCTGTTACGCAAGCCATCTGCAAACCTTTTAATTGCAAGTTTTTCATTTATAGGTCTCAAAATCTCACTTGCTTTGGGGTTTTCGTCGCTTTGTGCGATAGTGAGACCTACAAATAAATCTGTCAATTTATCACCAAACTCACTTATTGACATATTGTTTTGAGATAAATTATTTAATTGGTTAAGTATCGAATTTGCCGATTTTTTAGTTAGTAAGAAGTTCTTAATGTCTTGTATTAAATTAGGTACATTGTCATATTCGCTTTTTAATTTTAACTTAGCAGATTTTGATAACCTGGTTTTCAATACAAATGTTATTAGTAACTTTTTCTGTGTAGTATCTACTAAATATTCATTATACATCTCAATTCCATCTATAATTTTTTCAATAGTTTGTTCTGAATTATCCATTACTGGTATTAAAGAAGTAGCGGTTTTTATATCGAATTTCTCCATGTTTGTTACAGTTGTATTTTCCTCGCAATTACTAGTTTTATAAGTCAAAATCCGTTTATATGTTAACTCTATACGTTCTTTTAATATATCATGCACATATTCTGCAAGTTCTACTGAAGTTTCTTTAGTTTTAAAACTACTAATGATATCTTTATATGTTAGAAATAACTTTTCAGCTTGTAAAAATTTTTCATTTATATTACCTGCATATTGTACTCGTCTAGTAGGGCCCAATTTTCTTAGATTAATTTGAATATCATTCAACTTACTTAAAATAATTTCTAAGTTTTGTTCCATATAACTATTTCACTTAAAAATATAGTTCATTTTTCCATTGATTGAAAACCGTATTTCCATTGATTCACGCATATTTCTCATAGACGCAGAGAGCACCGTAGCACCGAGCACCCCTTCAAACTGGTTCAGCTTCTTCATCCGGTCTGCCAAATCTTCCCGAGAGTCTCTGTCGCATACGCCTTATAAATTCAAAGTGCATCTTTCTTTCCATCCATTTGCGTTCATTTTTCTTCCATTTCTGACATCCGAAGTATATAATAGCCATAATCCCAATAGTCAAGGCCGCTGCTAAGAGTAAGTTGGTCGTCATCATGTGGTTCTGGACCTCGATGTTCTCGTAAATCGTTGCTTTATTGGGTCCTGCTGCATTTTGGTTCAGAGTGAGTTCTTTGTCTTCGGTTTTAGAGTATGATTTTCCCATTTTACGGAGTATAAGTACAAAAGGAATTTGAGTACGGTAAGTTCAAGTTTTGATGTCACTGAGTCTGATCACACACAATCTTGATGCAGCAAAATTTTTGGAAGTGGAAAGTTAGCATTAAGTAGAAATAAAATCACTTTGCACACTATTGTTCTTGGCGAAAATCACTTTGCACACTTGTACTTGTTCTTGGCGAAGCGTTATTCAATTGTTCAAAATCGGTGCACCGAGGCACACAAGAATCCGCGGCGTCAGCGTTCGCCGGCCACCCGACACTCGCCCACGCCATGGCAAGGCAGGGTCGCCATGAGGTGTGGGGAGCTAGTGTAAAATAAAACAATACGTCTGTCTCGTTTCACGGTGCTCTTTAATCTGATCCACTAACTACTAACTACAATAAGGTATACCCTACTTCAATACTATATAATATTATAAATCTGAAAGTGAGTTTGTTTGTTTGTTCTACCATCACGCCGTAACTACTAAACCGATTGCTATGAAATTTTGCAGACGTAAAGTTAGAAGTCCAGATTAAATAATAGGGTACTTTTTATCCCGGAAAAATGTGATATTCCCGAGAGAAAACAAAAATATTAGTATAGATGGCGCTGTATGTATGCGTATAGATGGCGCTGTATGCCATTTAAAACAATTCAACGAATTACCTACTAATTGGAAATTCACGCTTTAATCTATAGCGCTTATTTGGTGTTAATCTACACTTATTCGGTGACTCATTTATTTGCTGTTTTATATTTAAAAAAAAAAAAAAAAAAAAGAAGCAAAGGTAGACAAAGCAAACGATGGGAGGATGACATAAAAAAGATAGCTGGTTCAGGATGGACACGTACTGCAAAGGACAGAATTAAATGGAAATCCTTAGAGGAGGCCTTTGTCGAAGGACAAGCTGTAAAAGAAAAACCAGTTCCCGATACAAGGATTCAACAATAAACAAATTGGAATTAAACAAAAAACATCCAAAACTTGAAACGTAATACGAGTATCTAGACTATATTATTATCCATATTGTATACTGCAAGTTACAGCAATAAAGGCTTATTTTATTTATTTATTTTATTTATTTTATTTAAAAATACTTAAAAAACACTGTGGTAACGTTGTGTAGTAGTTACGCTACTTGGCGATAGATGGCGCTTAGTCTTTATAAAACGGGGTAGCGTTGTGTTTTTTAAGTATTTTTCGCTTTTAAATTTTGGTTCCTACGATTTTACATTGAATTGTGTATTTTATAGATTTTAGGTTGTTAAAGGTACACGAAATTGGTGTCTATGTAGTAATTACGCTACTTGGCGATAGATGACGCTGAGTGTTTTATAAATTTTGGTTCCAACTATTTTACATTAAATTGCGTATTTTATAGATTTTAGGTTGTTAAAGGTACACGAAATTGGTGTCTATGTAGTAGTTAAGCTACTTGGCGATAGATGGCGCTGGGTGTTTTTAAAACGGGGACGCGTTGTGTTTTTTAAGTATTTTTCGCTTTGAAATTTTGGTTCCAACCATTTTACATTAAATTGCGTATTTTATAGAGTTAGGTTTTCGATAGTAAAACGTATAATATAGTTTACCACTCAGTTTTGATTTAACATTGCAAATGAAACCCTTATAGGAAATAGAAGTATTTTAAATTAAAATGAGAGGATGGTATTTGTGGTAATGCAAAATAACTCCTTCTGTTGTTCTTTCACGTTAAACGGCTGAACAGATTTTGAAGAAATTTTTCAAGTCCTGGAACAGAAAGGCTTTACCGCGGCAGAACTTCTCATTCCCACAGGAAAATCTAAAAAGCGTGATAAAACCGAATTCTACGCGAGCGAACAGCTATTTGTTTGTTTGCCTGTCTTAAACGGCAAAACGGAGGTACTTAACGTGATTTTTAACTGAAGGTAGTTGAAGGGATGGATAGTCACATAGGCTACTTTTTATCTTTTTGTGACGCGAGCGAAGCCGCGGGTAAAAGCTAGTTCTATAATATTACTAGATGACCCGGCAAACTTCGTACCGCAAAATTTTATCTCCCCTTTTAAACCATCCCTGGACTTTCACGAACATTTCAGGACCGATATTAGCCAAATCGGTTCAGCCGTTCTCAAGTTTTAGCGAGACTAACGAACGGAATTCATTTTTATTTATATAGATATATATAGCCTCCACGAAAAAACTTAAAAACAAACGCAAAACTTGAACATAAAAACATAATTTTGACTAGTACAACTAAAACAACAATATTAGATGAATAACAACAATATTAGATGAATTTTGATATAGAAATCACTTTTTTGGAGGTCAGCCTATCATCAGCCAATAGTAATTCCACAACTAGCGCAGCGCAGTGGCTGCTACGCAACGTATCACGGGTTTAATTCCAACACGAGACGATACTTTTTTGTGTAATCTACAAATTGTAGTACCTTGGTTGTAGCCGCTGTAGGTGAAGTGAACGTTTGTATAACCCATGCATAACGCAGGAGAAAATCCTTACACGAGACGTTTTTAATAAAGAAAACGAAAATGCTAGTGTTAGAGTACATAGTTTCAAAATATAATTAATTCAGTGTCTCACGAAAGTTTTGACATAAACAACTGGCTGTCTTCAAGAATAAATTTTGTAGTAGAAAAAAATACCTGTGTAGGTACCTATGTGAATTATCAGATTGTGATTCATGTGCTAAACATAATTTTAGAATACATTGTCACACAAACACCAAATTATAAGATCAATACGATGTACAGTTCATTGTTAATGTTAATAATAGATTAGAGAGTAAGCTTAAAGAACACCTGTCCCACACGCACGAAGCGCTTCGCATCAAGCTTCCTTGTGCGTACTGCTAAGGAGTGGAATTCTTTACTAGTGTATTTCCTGAAGGGTATAACTTAGGACCTTGTCTTCAAGGACCGAGTGAATAGGTTGCTTATAGGACCACATGCTCCATCGTAGACCGCATCATCGTTTACTACCAGGCGAGTAAGAGGTCAAAAGTCGGCCCTACATATATTTAAAAAAAAACAATACATTAACATAATATCACGCCTTTTTATCCCCGAAGGGGGAGGCAGAGGTGCACATTTCGGCACTTAATGCCACTACAATGTAATACCCACTTTTCACTATTAATGTTATGTGTCCCATGTAATATGGGGTGAGCCTATTGCCATATACCGGGCACATTTACCGACTCCGTGCTACTACTGAGATTTATAAAAACCCAGTAATACTTTAACTCGTCGAGTACCGGTTTTATAGACACAATTAAAGAACAATAGGTCGCGGTCACCGGTGACCGCTTGGTGTTTGACAGTTTAAATAAAAAAATAATACTTCTGCAAAAAATAACCAGCTAGATATAATTTCCATAAATCTTGTTCCTGGATTCTTATAAGCCAACATTTAGTGTCAGAATCCTTACTAATATTATAAATCTGAAAGTGAGTTTGTTTGTTTGTTCCACCTTCACGCCGTAACTACTGAACCGATTGCTTTGAATTTTTGCAGACGTAAAGTTAGAAGTCTGGATTAAATAATAGGGTACTTTTTAACCCGGAAAAAATTGATATTCCCGAGGAAAAACAAAAGTATTGGTATAGATGGCGCTGTGTGTATTGGTATATGTCACATGTCTACTTTTTATTCTTTTGTGACGCGAGCGAAGCCGCGGGTAAAAGCTAGTATGTAAATAAAAGGCAGAGATTAAGTTTTTTTGGGTTTTATTTTATGCTTATATTACTTAACAGGAAGAGTCTTAGATCCTGGAGGGATACAACATCTGAAACAAATATAAATGACATGTTAATTATGATGCCAACAACAATTAGGTGTCAAACATGTTGAATTAGTGTTCTCAGTAAATTTTTGTCCACATTAAGTTCAGGTTTCAAATGTCTAGACATCATTGAAGTAGCTTTAGTAGGCAAGATTGCGTTGATTCTCTATACTTCATACTGGAGTAATTAAATCTTATGCAGTTCTAAAACTGATAGTAAAATTAGTATGTAATTAGTAATTTTATTTAAATGAATATACTGACCACGCGTATCCTGTGTCCCATAGCCTGCGCAGGCAGGTTGGAGCGGAAGCGAGCACGAACTCCACCGGAGTTACCGTGTGGTCTGGTCACCTTGCCCCAGATGGCGCGCAGCTTGGTCTTCTTGCCACGGGGTCCACCAGCGATGGGCGTCCTCTTCTTGGCGCGGTATACATATACGCAACGCTTGCCAGCGTAGAAGTCTGCGTCATCACGGCTCCTTGCTCCCTCAATCTAAAATTGCAATAAATATTCCAATAAAATTAACATTCTAGTGTGTAGGTCATAAGAAGTGTCTTCTAAGCATGTATCAGTAACACTTTGTCCACATAAAGATTCAGGTTTCAAATGTCTAGGCATCATTTAAAAATAGATAAAACGAAAATAGATTGGTGTATTGCAACTAACTGTTAACTATATTCAATAATGTAGTTTTTAGTTATTGATCAAATATTTAAATATCCTAAACATTATTCTACAAGTCATAACATTTGTAAATTCTTTAATGTAATAGAATGATATTGAAATTACTAAGCAATTGAGATAATAACAAAAACATTTATTAGCTCTTCAGAGAATAACAGTGAAGCCCTGGCCCTTAAACTAGGTATCTTGTATAACAAGAGCCAAATACTCATACAATAATCATAAGAGTCTAATACTACCATGAGTTATGACTATGACATGTTTGAAAACTATTATTGTTGGAATCAGCAGATTAAAAACATTTTAGAGGTTATGTTCAAACAAAACATTGTACCTAGTGAAAGTGAATACTTTATCAGAGTTTAAATCCTCATTGCAGACATAGGTAAATCTCCACAGATAAAGAAACTACACACTGAGGTAATGAAAGCATTGCATAAAAATTACTATGAACTTATTTCCAGCAGGATCTGGTTAATGTCGCATCACCATTTTGAGAGAAACCAGCATATAACTGATAGATAGGTACCATTCGTAGGTTATTATGAATACCACATTGTAAGTAATAAGGCACTTTCAAAGTGTGTATGACATACCTTCAGGAGAGCTGTGTTCTCGTGCTGGTTGCGCAGACCACGTTTGTAGCCTGTGAACACGGCCTTGGCGTACAGCCTGCCGTGACGGGGCTTCGATGATACTTTGCGCACCGCCTTTGGAGGCTCTGCAGGTGCCGCAGGGGCAGCCTTGGCGGCCTTCTCTTTGGGTGCCTTAGTTTTAGGCACTTTCGCCTTGGGCGCTGTCGATGGCGCTGCGTCAGCCATTCCTAAAACATCAAGTAACCAAGATATAAAAACGATATACTTGCTTCAACCACGAACTCCTCAAGATAGGTTATGTTGACAACAGGCACTAATCTGAATCTATCTCCGTGAATAAAATTAATCACACATTTTTTAATGCTCCAGAGGATGCAACCATTATTGTTTCATTTAGTTTATCACTTATTTTCCATCCATACCGTATATAATTAGATATTTTCAACAAATTTTAGCACACTAACCGTTTGTTATTTTCCTTTGGAAATGAAAGAAGGGGTCGAGGTGTTGCCAGATAAGAACTTCAAACTGCTCCTAAAAAAGTTATAGTAATTTTCTTAGTGTTCGTTTTCTTGCTCAGAATTTTAGATTTGCTTTTAAAAAGATGTAAAATAATGAGAATAATATTTGGTTACATTTAGTTGAATTATTTTATTTTATTATTTCAATATTATGCATATTAAACAGTATTTCCATTAACATCTAATAGTAGAAATTTTTCGTGTGCTGTAACACGGCCACACTTTATTTTGTCCGGAAATAACAAAACTTTCGGTGTCACAAATATTTGGTAAAGATATAAAATGAAATGAATAATTATTATTGATGTAGCGTAAGACTAATTCTGATTAATTTAATCATAAATAAATAAATTATTATTTACGGAAAATGACTGCTGCACTGACGTATGTGATATTTTATTTAGATCTGTGGAATTCCTGTTGTCTGATTTGGACCAATCAGAAGAAACCACGAAAAGAGACGAACGAAAGATGGATTGTGGCTCTGTCAAATAATTATTTTGTATTGAAATTGAATTGTTGTGAATTAGCTATAAAGACTGCTGTAATTAAATTATAGTTTAATAATGGACTACTTAGTGAATATTAACTGGAACAAAATCACGCCATGCCTTGTCTTATTAGTGCTAGAAGTAATGTTAGAATGTGTGTATTTTTATTAATTTAACCTGCATATTAGCATATTTTCTTGCTGTTTTTTGTATGAAAGTACGTGTTTTGAGTTGTTGGTGTGTAGTTTCAGAGTGTGCCACGCCGGCGGAGGTTAATAAACACCTGGAGCTGGGCCGCGACTTCTTGGCTCGGGGTCAGCTATCAGATGCTCTGACACACTATCACGCCGCCGTGGGTGAGTGCCTAGTTGTCTACAAGTACATACGTGTACTAATTTTGTGCTATTATATTTACAACGCATTATACGGGTGTGATTTAAAGCTTAGTTATCAAAAAAGCTAATACACCTAGTTACTAACAACCTCTAAAACACATCAACACTGCAGGGCATCAGGTCAAATAGTCTGGCTAGTGGCTACCTAATGTAGCTGTTTGAATTTTGTGATCTCAAAATGGACTATCAAGAGAATTTTACTTGAAGCAACTCTGTCTCTGATATATTGATTGTCTTTATTATGTTTGATAAGTTATCAGATAAACATAGTGAAACAAGTGAATTTATTTCTGCAAAGAGGCTACAAGGCAGCACTTTTACATGTCAATTTTATATATATTGCACATAATAATACTTATAATAAAAGTGCTTAAAAATACTGCAATGTAGGCCTAATATATTTTAATTTTGTTATTTGATGAGACCACTGAATTATTTAACTTCATAGTTATGTTAATAACTCGTAACCATTCAATACCTAATTTCAGCAAATAATAAATCAAATAATTCAATGCCATAACAAAGAGCTTACACCTGTCCCTATCATTCACACATAAAGACTCATTTTGGCACCTAATCCAATGTTTATTATCTATGACATTCTGTAATAATCTGTATATATTTGCAGAGGGGGACCCACACAACTATCTCACATACTTCAAGCGTGGCACAGTGTACTATGCTCTAGGGAAAGCTAAGTTTGCCCTACAAGACTTCACTAAGGTAATAACTACAAAACATTTGGGATTCATCTGCACTACATCTGTACATATTCATCCACATTTGCCAGATGGTTTGCACTGTAGATTTGCTTTATATTTTCACTTAATTTATACAAGTAAAACTGTAAAATTGTATTGAATTATTCATGAGAGTAAATTTTTAAACGTATATGGCCATCATAGGTGTAATACACCCACTTTTTGGCAGTTTTTCTTGTATACAGATGCTTATACAGACAATATTAAAAAATGATCATAATTTTCTGGACCCCAGGGTCTGTTCCAATGTTTAATTGCATTTCACAGATACATTATAACTATCAATTTCTCAGTTTGTGTTAAGATAAGTACCAAGTTACATTAAAATTCAGTCGGAGTCTGTCATTTCAATATTATTGTAACTTTACTACTAATGTAATAATATTAGTGCATCATTCATTATATTATTAAATGTAAACAATATACATATGTACTTATTTGTTCCCAGGTATTGGAGATTAAGTCTGACTTCACAGCAGCGCGCCTGCACCGAGCTAATGTGTACCTGAAGCTGGCCCAGTATGTAGATGCCAAAGAAGACTTCTTACAAGTTGTGAGTACCATATCTAATGTTGTTCAATATACAGAGCTCTGATTGGTTGTTTCATTGCAGCCGGCCAATCAGAGTGCCGAATGTGTTCATTTTACTTTCAATGTAAAACATAGTGGTACTAAACCCTCAGGTCATAGGGCAAAAATAATCTCTTACATTGTCACTTATCAAAATAATGATCTCTGTTTACATTATTAGGATAGTTTGCTAAGTATTACATTGTGATTCATTTTATATTCATGTATTTGGGTAAATAGTAATTATGCAGACTAAGAAATTGTTGTGTGGTGTTGAGTGTGTTCTTAATCACTGATAATATTACATTATTGGCATACAAATTAAGTGTTGGATTATGTCTAAATGGACGTCCAATCAGTCTTGTTTACAATAATCTTATATTATTAAGTAAACATTACCAAATGTAATAATTACAAAGATTTGAAAAAAAACATGTTCTTGACCAAAAACACAAGTTTATTTTCCTCGTAAATACAGATTCTATTGTTGTAAGTTTTTATTTGACTGCGACATTGTATATTCGTTTCAAGAGTCGTAACTCTCGCTTCACTGACTTCACGACCTAAAGCCAATACCAGCCTAAGTTATCAATCTGCTGCATTGACGCTGAATTAAAAATGTTAAACAATATTACATAGGTAAGGTTGTTGCAACATTACGTGTTCCTACTATGGCGCGGTGGCTGTGGCGAATGTATGTTGTTGCTCAATTATTCGTGTTGCAACACTAAATCGACCAAGGATGTCGCAACACGTACGAGTCTTATTTTTACATTACATCATTAATTTTACAGACAGATAAAAATCAAAATTTTATTATATTGGAATCTACACGGGAACAAACACCCTCACATCAATTTCTTCTAGATTTTGAAATATCAACCTTATCGATTTGATATAAGATCGAAAATCAATTGCAGCAAGATTAAGACTTTGGAGTAATAGGTCATTCTACTGGTGTCTTAAAACGACGTCAATACACAGCACATGCCATTGAAATACATATAGTTAGGTGCTACAGTTAGTTACGTGTTAATAGATCATTGTATCATTGTCAATGCACTGTTTTCTCTTTGTTTACGTAGCACAAGTTGATCAGCTGCTCACTGGCACGTGACGGCCTTGACATTCAGTCCTTTTGTTATATTACTTTAACGCTGACTCGGCACTATGAGCTTATATTATGCAACGAACGTTTTATTCATAAATAAAATCGTCAAATTATTTGAAAAAAGGTTGAAATTACTTACAGGATTAAAAAAATTGTTTTGTACTTATTTGTGAAATATCGCACAAAACAGTTGAGTATAGAACACGTAGGTGTGTCGTACACGTGTCGCCATTGTAATTCGTTATTAACTGTAAAACGCATAAAAATATTTAGCATTGCTAACTAAGCACTTACTAATAGAATCTGACCTCGACATGCGAGAGGAGAAATGTGAAATGGATTTGTACCTTTTTTGAGGGGGGGGGGAATAATCCAATGGCTTCTCCCGCCCGGGTGAGGTAAGGGGGAGTGTCAGACTCTTCAGCCGGAGCCCCGCCAACCCGTTAAGTCCTCCGCGGCTCTGTATCGGCATCAGCCCTATTGGGCCGCATCTGGGCCTTATGTCAGAGTTAAAAAGCCCAATATTGAAGTAATACTAACCGTTTCGACGTAGGACAATTTGCTAATAATTATACATTTTTAACTTATAGTCATTTCGTATGGTTTTAACAAGAAGGAAAGATATTCATATTTATTGGTAATTAATTTACCTAGATATGTGTATGCAATTGTTTACACGTCATCAGTTACTGTAATTTAAACTACACTCATTATCGCGTCGTTGAATGTACGGATATTAACGGAATGATAAACATTACTAAATTAATGTTTGTAACAGTATTGTTACTGATAACTGTCCATCAATTGTCGTTAACATTTTGTTTTGATAAAACTATAACGAAAAATTCCCTCGAGTTGGATAATGTTCATACGGCTTATATTCACACCATTGTAATACGAAGATGCCCGATTAGTTGCTAGGCCCACTGCCCAACACAAAAGCGTATTCATTAAATTACATATTCATTAAGTAAGAACTAATTTAATCTGGCTATTCGTATCTGTTTTTTTTTTAATACTGATATTCCTTTAAGTAGTTACTAGTTAATACTATTCCTTTTGTATTAGAGCTCTTGTTAAACTAGTTATTTGTGGACAGACGTATGCGGAGCCGTACAACGAGGAGGCGATCAGCCAGTATCACAAGATCGACGCGCTCATAGAGGACCTGCGCCTGGTGGAGGCGTACTACCGCGGCGGAGACTACCGCGCCGCCGTCGACCTCGCCACCACGCTGCTCGACACCTCGCCCTGGTCCGCGCAGCTGCGCCAGCTGAGGGCCGAGTGCTACATCGGACTGGTACGGTACACACCACTACACTTACAAATATAAAGTACCTAAAGTTCCAATTAAGCAGTAATATATGATTGACGCAATGGCTGGATGGCCAGCTACTATGGAACAATATTGTTCCTGTGATATACAAGTTAATCTCGATCTAAATGTGAATAGGGTAGACGACTAATTTTCATTTTAATGTCCGTCTGATAGATTATTTAAAAACATTAGACACGTATTTTTTATTTTCTCACAGAAACGAATAGTTTCGAAGATATATTGATTTGAAATGTCGCGTGACGTCACTTCTCAGTACATTTTATACTAAGAAATGACGTTTTAGCCCCCACTCCTAAACTTTGATTCGTTTTATCTAAGTATTGTTTTATTATACGACAAAATAAAAAAAAACGTGTCTAATATTTTTTCATTACCTAACTTACGGACTAATTATATTTTTAATTTTCATACCCTGTCATCATCCCCATTGTACTCAACTATCGTGTATATTGTTTCCAGAACGATCTCTTCTCAGCAGTGTCAGACATTAGGTCAGTGAACAGACTGCAACAAGACTCCACAGACGGCTACTACAGACTGGCCACCTTGTTGTACCAGCTCGGACATGTCAATGATGCTCTAAAGGTACACTGTTTAAATTGAACATTAACTTGTTTTAGTAAATAGAACAAATACACGTGTAGATTTTCTTTTGTAAAATTCAAACAAATGCATTAATAAAACTCAAGTCAATATTGTGTTTTGTGATGTTGTTACTTGTAGATTGTTGCCTTTTTGTATAATTTTATGTTAAACCAAACACAAACTTGTACCAAAAAGCGTTACATTTAGTTAGTACAATGAAGTTTTTAATATTTTTTTAGATTGTATGGCCTAATTTTAATGTAAATATTTAGTGAAATTAGATATTATAGGTACTTATCAAATATATATGCTTTTACAAATAATTTAGTAGTTAATGTAGCGGCATGATTCTATTCATTTACTTTAACTAATATTACTTTTTCATAGGAAATCCGAGAATGTCTAAAATTAGATCCAGAGCACAAGAAATGTTTCCCGTTCTACAAGAAGGTGAAGAAAGTGGACAAGTTCCTGCTGGACTGCGAGCAGGCCAGCGAGGCGCGGGACTACGACACCTGCATCGCCAGCGCCAACAAACTGCTGCGGGCGGAGCAAGATGTCACGCTAGTCGTGTTCGACGGACGGAGGTGGCTCTGTAGCTGTCTTACTAAGGTAACTGATTGGGCTCTACACTGAAAGAATGTATTGTTTATTGCTAATACTAACTAGTACTAAATTAATAATATAATATATACAACTTAAGATTACAATTATTTAAAAGGAAAACAAAAATAAAACTATTTACATAAAGCATCAAAAAATTCGTCCGCATCGACGTCAGTGGAGAAAGTATCCAGAAGGCTGGCAGTATTGTCACGTTGTACGGCAATGCTTAACCTTAGACCGAGAAAAAGACCAGCCCTCTGGTCACGCGATGTGTCGACCAGGTTATTATTAATGGCGTGTTATTGACTGCCCCGTGGTGCCGCAGGACGAGCAGTGGTCGGAGGCGCTGTCTGCGTGCGGCGCGGCGCTGGAGCTGCAGCGGGACGCGCGCGCACTGTGCGACCGCGGGGACGCACTGCTCGGGCTCGACATGTTCGACGACGGTACGTACTGAGACTCACTTTAACTGTTGCTCACCTCCGTTCACCAGTTTCATCCAACTTATTTATTTTTGTCTTCCTAAATGATCAGCACTAGTTTATAGATCTTGAACTGTTAACAATCAGGTTTTTGTTTATACTTACAGCTATCCAGTCATTCAAAGAAGCGTTAGAGTTAGAAGAAGGTCTGCAACGAGCGAAGGATGGACTCAGTCGCGCGCAGAAGTTGCAAAAAATGTCAGAACAGAGAGATTACTATAAGATATTAGGAGTTAAGAGGTAATACAGATCATTCAGTTAGTTAAACACAGTCTTTCTGTTCAGTTCAGTATGTTTTGATGTGTTAATAATAATAATGATTATTGTCTATACAGGTCTGCGAGTAAGCAGGAAATCATTAAGGCGTACCGCAAGGCGGCGCAGAAATGGCATCCGGACAACTTCCAGGGGGACGAGAAGAAACTCGCTGAGAAGAAGTTTATTGACATCGCTGCCGCTAAGGAGGTAATTTCACTTATTATATATATATAAACTCGGTCAAGTTGCGATATGACGCAGTGAAGATGATTCAAATACTATATTCGTTATTCTGAATAGGCAGTATATGTAGATATTTTGCATATATTTTGAGAACGAATCTCCGATGTCATAAGTTTTGTATGTAAGTTCTATGGAGCTTTGCGCTTGCTGTCAGATATTGTTAAAGAGCTAAATGTGTCGTGTCCCTATCGTGAGTACATTCGGTCTGTGGTCAGGTGCTGACGGACCCGGAGAAGCGCGCCCAGTTCGACGCGGGCAGCGACCCGCTGGACCCGGAGGCGCAGCGCGGCGGCGGCGGGCCCTTCCACAACCCGTTCCACCACTTCCAGCACGGCTCGCCCTTCCAGTTCAAGTTCCACTTCAACTGAACCCTCGCCCGGCTGCCCCGCGCGCCGTCTGTAGCATCGTCACATCCAGCTATGCATCGCCAGTATAAACTGACCTTTGGACGTGGAGATAATACAAAGCGAGACATTGATGAACTGGTTTGCATAGCTCGATATGTACCCGAATGTACTACATAATGTCACTCTTCATTCTCTCCTACTTGCCGTACATCAGACAGAATACCATAGAGTACTATATTTACAATACACCAACTTGTTACTGTGATAAAGTTCAATATACATTGTTATAACTTGTTCAGATCAATACTTAAAGTACTGTCGTCCACCGAATGTAAATATTGTATAATTCAATTATAGCTAACTAATAAATTATGAGTTTTTTAGTATCAAGGAATTAATCGCCAATACAGTTGGGTGAAGCAACCTAAAAGAATTGGTTTTGTCATGAAATTACATTACAACGCGCTATACTATAATGGTCAGATTGCTCCAAACGAAGTATCAAGTTAGTTTATTACATAATAACAACAAGAATTATATTAGTGTCAATAAGTTCGGAGCAGCGATTGTTATTATCACGTTTTGATCTCCAACATATTTTAAAAATAAAAATTAGCACAATTTACATCGCTAGATATAATTTGAGAGAGAAAAATTATACTTTTGGCCCAATCTCGGTATGCTTGGAAGTAATTGCATAATTAATTATTTGTCAAAAGTGAAATTGGAATGTTTTCATACTAACTGCTATTAACACTAAGTACAAAACATGTGCATTATAAATACACTTTAATTTGTTCATCGAAGGGTTTATGAAGCAGACACGTATGTGTGCGTGGTGTCCGTCGCTACGCATTGTACGCACACACCTACATATGAAGTGTTTGTTTGTATACATTATATACATACGTTAATTATTGCGGTCTGTGGTGTTAGAGTAATTTGTTTTACGGATGGAATGCGAACTTTGCAGGGACTTCAAATATTTGTACATACTGTAGCGAAAAAAATATGTTCTAATTGTCGCCTATTTTTTTCGCTGGTAGACAATATATTGTTTGTAAATGAGAAAACTTAGCTGCGGTCAGTGGTGAGGTACCAATGTGTCCTCCAGTCTCTGTAAACAGTTACATGAGAGGTTTACAAACATTGTTCCAATACGAATGATATGAAACTACTGCGTCATGTGGTCGATAAATAAATATTTATTTATTAATAAGTTATTTTGTTGTGATTTCTATAACTTTGTAAATATTACAGGAATATAATAATGTAAAACGTTGTTTTTCTTTATTTATTGTATCCAAATGTTTAAAATTCGTATACAAAGTCGTTTAATATAAAATAAATAATAATAAATAGTAGTAAATCCTAAAGCTACGAGTTATATAGTAGGTATAAATATCCCGTGGTATATAGTTTGTCCTACGGCTCGTGATCAGTCCATAAAATCTTTGGTTTCCTTCCTTCCTTCAAGTTTTTAGCGAGTCTCTCGACCTCGTTGCTCAGCTTTTCTGGATCCTCCTCCTTCTCACATATATATCTGTGTCGCAGCGCACAGTCCTGTCCCCTGTACACATAAACACTCCGCGCGGGGTCGTACACCCAGGCCAGGCAGCGCCCCTCGCCCGGCACGGCGGCGCTCGTACTGTTCCCCAGCACGGGCCGCGCCGAGTGCGACCAGATCCACAGCAGGCCGGGGTTCAGGCCGCCCGTCCAGAAGTCTACGCCTGCACTCACAAATATTTTCATATTAATACATTTTAATAGCTATCGGGTGAGTCAGTCACTGTTCAGGATAACGGGTACATTAGCCACTAATAACATGGTTATACTTACAAGCATCAAATCCACTCATGAATACATGTTCAGTTAGTCTGAATGTGCGTGCTTGTTAAATATGCCTGGCAGACCTCGAATCGTCTCTCATGACCTTTCCTCACAAATACGTTACAACCAGCCAACATCCAGCTCGTACCTATACTACGGGTTATGGCACAGCTTGCAGCCCTCATATACACGGGCACGGAATACTTTAGTTACGTGTTAAATTACTATTATAATGATTATGAATTACGTTTACAAAAATGACATTTCTACTTATAGTCCAATATTGTTATAATGTTCGAAAGTGCTGATAGATACTAAGGTAGGATGTATAATTTGGATGCTAAGTATATTATGAATATTACTGCGATGTCTTAAATTATGATTTGTGTTTATTTGCTGACATCGGGAAGAGTGAATAAGACAGTTGCATGCTCTTCGCTAGGCCAAGTGAGATCTTAGCGAGCCTGCCGGTGAGCTTGCCGTTTGGGATACGTTTAGAGAGTAAGCGGATCAAGCTGTAGAAGAATGAACCAGTCATGAGGACGGCCAGGGCTCGGATGTGCTTGTACAGCCAGACACATTTAACAAGCAAACACATGCGAGGCATGTATTTAGTGTGGCCAGGTCCCCTAGTGTTAGGGACGTCTCCTTTGGCAGCAGAAAATAAAGAAATGATGTGTATTATGAATTAGTTCGAACATTTTAAATTTTAGAACAACATGCTATCATGAAGTTACAAGACTGGCCTACCTTTGTATCTCTTGTCGGTGAAGAGTGCGGAAGTGAGCTGGTCGCGTTCCTGGTCGCTCTCTATCTCCAGCATGTTCCCCTTCATGCGGCGGCAACCATAGCTGGCTCCCTTCCAGTTAGCGACCTCTGACGACACGTGGTAGCAGCCACTGCCCACGCGAGTGAAATTCTTCGGACACGGCTCTGCCTTATTACCTACAGACAGATACTACTGTAGATAGGAATTCATATTACACACAACTTTCTCTTGTACGGCTGGCGAAAGTTCAAAATTATAATATTTTGTAAGCACGTAGGATACAATCTCTTAACATTGTAACTTATTGTGTTACAACTAACTACCTACTCGTGATATTACAACACATTATGAAACAACATTACAATTAACCGTACCTTGGCCATTAAAATTTATACCTAAGCACACTCACCCAGCTTAGCGTCCAGTCCTGCAATGAGGGAGTGAACTGTCTCCTCCATCTTCCGAAGTCGCTTCTCAAAAAGATCAGCTCGGTAGACCAGCTTCTCGATGGCGCCGAGTAAGTAGAGGTCAGTTTCGGAGACTTGTTTCTGTGGTGACACTTTGTTTTCGTCAACTCTGTCCAGTGCCTGGCTGTGCACAGGAATCGGCTGGTTCTGGATAGGTGCTGGCTGCAGCAGAGTGAGGTAGTTCATTAGTACAATCATATCTTACATAGCATGTGTTCCTTCTTCCTATGCATGAAAATGTAGGTAATTTGGTACAACTCACGTAGCTGGGCTTGAACTTGTCCTTGTATGGGTTTGGTGGTCGATTGACGATCTTGCCCGTGTTGGGGGGCAGTGGAGGCGAGTGTTGCCATTCATCATAAGGACGGGCACCCGGGGGCAGCTGCTGGCTGGAGTGGCTCGGGTGGTTGGCCTGCTTCACTGGGGCCGGTGGAGGTGGTGGGGGCGGGGACAGGTAGGGCCTGTCCACGCGGTCCGTCACGTAGTAGCCTTGGGCAGGTGGGAGAGCCATTATGCGTCCTGCAAATCCATAAAGACATCACTTAATTACTTCTAGGTATAGAGTAAACATAATATTAAGTTGAATTGGAGTTCTTCATTGCACAAATCTGACTATAAACTGATATAAGTTACGTAACAGGTATACCTTGTCTTCCGGTATGGTCTGAGCCGGTGAGCGCCCACTGCTGCACCATGGCCATCCAGGGCCCGTCGTCCTCGTACAGTCCGCAGGTGGTCTGCTCCGCACTACACCACCGTGGCTGCTCCGGTGCTGTGCTGTTGTGCTCCTTCATGTGGGCGGGGCCTGCGAGGCACAGCAGCGCTACCGCCGCTACTGGGAGCCACATCTGGAACACACCGTCAACATCATCAGCTGGAAGACCTTTATTTCTGAACAAAGGGATTCCCTTCAGCCCTTGTCCTTGGTTATTGGTTATAATTAAAAGTTGCTATGTTGCAGTCTGTATCTTGCTGACTGGTCGACCGGTGTTCATTATGTTTTGACTGTGGCTAATTAGTCATTACCTATACCTACTTTTAAACGATGCTTGCAAAACAAAATTTGCTTAAATCTTGTACAATATCCGTTTGCTCTAATGGCCCAGATTAATTTCTCCAAACAGTGTTAGTCATCACAAGCGTGGTGCGCGGGATATCCATAATACTATTACGTGCGGGGTCAGGCCGGGTTCACGTGCGGCCATCGATTACGCAAGCGCATCGCATCGCAGGTGAAAGCGCCGCGCCCGCCGCACGCCGCGCCGGACGCCGCCGCCTCCGCGCTGCGCCGCCAGGTAAACAAGGATTGCATCGATCGCCGGCCTTTCCCAATTGCAACCAATCACGACCAGGATACAAACGTACTTGATACGATTCATTTAATTGGAATAATTATGAAGTGTTTGTAAGCATACATTGTATTATCACAAGAAGTAAGAATACATTGAATGCATTTATGCTCTAAGAAAGTATATCTGCCCTTATCTACGTTACTTTCTATAAAGTGGTACGCAATGATCGTAGTATGCGATAAGTAGGTACTGCAGTTCCTGCTCAACCTCATGAGGAGAACGTAGTGTGAATCTATTTATGTAAGTACCTATGTATAAAAATAAGGAATATACATACTATCATATTAATACGAGACGCCGATGTAGACGTATAACCTGGCTTACAATAGTAAGCACGTGGTTTTGACAAAGAGACCAAGAGAGCACCGGTGACTAGTAAAACGAGTTGTTGTCCTAAAACGAGGAAAGTAGTCTCCTCACTCATCTATTATAGTCATAATTGAGTGAAATAGTGGTGGTGTCGTCGGCACGTAGGTATGCCGCGGCGTGTAGATAGGTACGAGCCCCTATCGTAGCTTGAAACTAGTCGAGTTAAGATTGTACCCAGCACTCGGCAGTCGCATTTACGACCAACGATCCAGTGGATGCAAATTGTTATTGTTTTTGGCATGTGCTCAGACTATTATACTCTTCTGTATCTCAGCCGTCGTGGGCACATAACTATTTTATACCTACTTTCACACACAAATCATGAAATCACACAATTTTGAATTTATCCGAGAATCTTGTAAAATATTATTTTGTACACCATGAATCGCAAAACATGCAGATCTGATAACATGTATATTTAAAGACCTTGCACATAATATTTGTTGTATACTTACCTACTCATGTTTTCCACAATAAATCTATTCTATTCCACCAAAAAAAAAATTTCGTTGATAATTTTTTTTAAAGTCGGTTGACTAAATAGTCGTTAGTTGCAGCTAGGAGTACCTAGCTTACACTTGCAAAAGATTTGGAAATTAAATGCGGGTTGCATTCGGCATTTGACTGGTATAGGGCGCCGGGAAGTGCAGGGTTGCAGCGTATACTTCTAGCTACATACATACATATATATGGAACCAACACTATGAATCCATCTTCATGAAATAAAAGCCTCGTGAGAAAATGCAATTAAATTCAAAACAAAACAAACGAAGAAATAAATAAAAATACTAACTCTACACGTGAACTTTCCTTTCGTTAGGCATGCTTTATTAATTACTAAGCGAATGTCGCAGAAACGTCCAGAATTGGAAAGTGACATACCTTGTTTCCTTAATGTCTTGTATGAGCACTGTTAATAGTAATATAAATATCACTTTTACTGTCCGTGGGCGACGTACGTGCGTCGCTGAGTGGAGGTTGATGGAGACTACACACTGCTAGACTGGGTAAAGCTCTGCGCAGGTATCGATCCGGTGTCTGCGAGCCGCGCACTGTTTCGCACACGAAGAGAAATTGCCGCGTATGACACGAGATGAGTGGGGACGTTGCATGTGTTGTACTGTTGTACATTATGTACTACATACTAGTTAGCTACTACCGGCGCTAATGGCTCGTGGTGAACTTACTGCACTTGGCATTGACATCGTAAAGAATCATTAGCGTCACCTCCGGGCTTCGCTGTAACATTATGTAAATGCATCTTGACCAAGTATGACTCATTGTTAAGTTCTCTTTTACTTTTAACGGCATACAAACGTCTCAGCTTCAGCAAGAAAAAAGTTGACATAAGTACTAGTAAATTAGTAGGTATGTCATTTCTAGCCACCCGGCCTTTTGTTGGGACAAGCACGGCACAACCTCCCTAAACCGCTACAACTCCTATAAGCCAGGATCTACAGTAACACCAGGCTTCGTGTTTGTCAATAAGTAGGACAAAAGAATATCCCTGCCTAGATACCTCATGAAAATTTATCTGAGAGGATTAACCTGTCAATCTTATTTGCATTTATAAGCCGAGAACAGTTAAAGTAGAGTCGGTAGAATTGAAATACCATTGCAAATCAGATTAATGCTCAGACTAATACTTCAGCTTTGGAGAAAGTTACAACCTGCATTACTAGAACAATAACATTATGTAAGAAGGTACTTATTAATAAAATAGAAATAGATACTTTAGTACTCACGTAGGTACTGGTTGCAAAGAAAGAGGCCACAAGGTAACATCATAACATAACATGTTACCTAATATCTAACACAGACGTCACCGGCCAGTGCTCCTTTGCATCACAATCACAATGAATGAACCTAGTTTACTGCGCAACTTTCCTTGTGTGTTGTACTGTCAATTGAGAAATGGGATGGTGTACCTACAGTCGTAATGAGGATCCTGTATCTGCTTACTTTATACTTAGACAGGTACACCTTGTTTACAGATAATACAGTGCTTTCTTTTTCGACCGTCATGCCCAACAAGGTTTCTCCGTTTCTCCCCATAAATGAAAGTTTTGAGAAGTCGTTAATATAAAGTTTATGTTTCCTGCAACTTCGTTATTACTTAGGTACTTATACATTCATTATTACATTCGCTACTTCAAACGGAAACAATTATCCCTGTGGAAGATATTTTAGAGTTATTGCATACACTAACTAATTCCGGGTTAACTCTTCTTTCTTCGTAAATGAAACAAGTAAATTAAACAAAACTTTATAATAACAATTCGTACATCAAGGTACTATTTATAAATTGAAACTACACAATAAATTTAATAATAAATATTGTAACACATATTCTGCATTCATCATTTTACAAACAGAAGGAAGCAGTAATTTGATAATTTCTATCGGACAACTAATCAATTTGCTAGAAAGCAAACATTTTCTTTTTGTATAAAACTACTTAACTTATATATTTTAGTATTTACAATTAATTACAGTTCGTAAGTTTATAATTAATTATTGATCAGTTTAACTGATTTAATTACTATACAAAGGAATTGAGTACAAAGTATTATTTAACAATCATCGCTCAACACTTAAACACATGGTTCTCATTTTGATGATTTTGATACTACACGACAACACGTACCGCGCAGGTACATGTATTTATTTGGTCAATGGTACTCCACCCACAGCCTATAGCTTATTCTTTAGTTTTACAGTATCCTAATACTTTCATGAAACAATCAATAAACTTGTCCTCTTTGTAAATAAAAAATGGTTTCACTGCAATAATAATAAAGCTTTTGTCGTCTATTGCAAAAGTCACGATAGTTAATATAATATAAAAGGACCTACCTAAGTAATAAAGTTTAACATATTTGGCTAACATTTATATCTGACCAGATTGTCCCGCGCGGCTCCCCGAGGGCTGTCACAACGGTTGGTACTGCCGCAGGCCGGGCACGGCGCCGCGCGTGAACACGGCGGGCCGGACGTGCATGGCGCGCAGCTTCTTGGGGTCTATGCTGGCGTACGCCGGGGGGGCACCGCGCGCACTCGGGGGAGCGGGGACCTCCTCCAGCCGCATCGGAGCAGACGGGGGGGTACTGTACTGAGCACCAGTTATGGTAGATATCGGCTCGTTTTGCTTTGTTTGCGCTACTGGGTGTCGCACGTGACTAGCTGGCATCGGTGCAGCATAGGGAGAACTTGGATGGAATAAAGCAGACTGACTTGAAGATTGTACAGGAAACGTAACAGGAGTAAGTATCGTTACTGGTTTAGTTTTAAGTTTGCTATTAGATGGGGGCTTCAGGTGCTTCGTACGTTTATTGTTACCAGCTGTGACTAAAATGTGAGTTGGAATCGGACGGTTTCTCGATGGCCTCGATTCATTTTCAAAAACGATAGCATGACTGGGATGTCCAGGATGTGGCATGAGCATGGTCGGATAGTTGGAAGGTGAAGAGGGTTCACTTAAACCAGGGATGTAGTAGTGTGCCGGGTCATGGTTGCTGGTGAATAAATAACTGTCAGGTACATGGTTGCTGTACACTGGCACCCCGACAGTGTTGAGAGCGGCTGTGAGTGGGTCAGTTTTAGCAGGACTTGCTTGGTAATAATTCTTGGTCGTCGATCCTGGTAGAGGAACATTATTTACATTTGCGATGTTCGACGATATCATTGCGTTACCAAAGTTATTCTTATTTTCACTTTCTGCGTACCGGTCATGTAAAACTTTTTTCTCTGATTTACTACTATCGCTGAATGCGTTGTCTCCTTTATTATATTTACAGGAGTCTGGAGCGCGCTTGGTATCACTCATCTCCGAGCGTGCCTTGGTCCCTGCATCGTGCTCCGACGTCGCGTCGTGCGGCGCGGCGGTCAGAAGTAGACAGTGAGGTTCATGTGGTCGGCCACCGCGGGGTTGGTCGCGTCCGTCAGCTCTTCCCCTCTGTCCTGGAAATTTATCTCTATTATACACATTTTACTGTCCTACCTGCAGCTTTAGAAAGGGTTAGTACACGTGGAGTTGAAAATTAACATATCTGGTGTTCACCGAAGACATTAGAATTGAGAAAGGATAGGAGTTTGTTAAACGACATCTCATGAGAAACCTTCTTGCTACTGCGAATGGATGTATGGAGACCAACACAATCGTAGCACCATCGAGTAAGAGCAAAACTGAGAGGAGAGAGAGTGTCGTGAGCATCATCGTACGCACGTGTGTGTGCGCGGCGTCGTCCCAGCTGAGCTTCTTGACGCGCGCCGGGATGGTGGCGGCCGGCCACGCCACGCCCGACCGCCCGCCGCCCGCGCACAGGTGGTCGCTCATGTGGGCCGTCGGGGCCACGCGGGACCGCCCGCCGCGACCCGACTGGCGCCCCGACGATACACCTGGGGGGATACACCCACATCAGTCAAAGCACTTACTTGAATTACCTCTGCAGACACTTTATTTCGCGTCTAAACTTACTAGTCGGCTGCGCTCCACGTGTAACAGTCTGTTGCTCTTGTTGCAGGTCCAGGCTGGAGGTAGAGTTGGCAAGTATAGTACTGGCCCCCGCACTCACACTCAGTAGTGAGCCGGACGACCCCGCGGGCCGCAGCGCGCCGGTACTGCCACTGGTGGGCAACGTCGTCGCTGCCCCCGGGGCCCCAGCAGTCCCACTCACGTGGGTGTTACTGGTGGCACTGGTTGGGTGTGATGTAGGGGTGATAGGATCTGCTAATGGCTTTTCATGTGTCACGTAGCCAGGTCCCGAGCCACCCGCACTGCGCTTTGACCGACGACGCCTGCAATACAACCAAAATTAAATGAATTCTGTCGGTGGTCGATAACGAAGTTACTTACTAGTCTAGCGTCAGCAGTACTCACACTCTGTAAATGTACCCGAGCAGCGCGCACACGAGCAGCGCCAGTGCGGCCAGCGCGCAGGCGAACACCGCCATGACGGGCCCCGCCCCGCCCCGGGACACACTGTCGGCGCCACCGCTCGCCTGGAGCAAGCGCTCGCTCAGGTGTACCGTCACCGGCACCGATGTCTGTAAACAAATACAAGACGTTGGAACACCCAAATGTATAAGAAGAAAACTTCAGATTTCAAATAAGTACAAATGCATGTATTGACCTGTCGGGGCGGCGCCCCCGAGTCGACGGCGGTGGCGACGACGTGCAGCACGGAGGAGTTGAGCGCGCGCAGTGCCGCGCCGCGCACGAACATCGCGCCCGACGCGTTCACGTACAGCGCGCTGCACACACGGGCCGTACTGTACTGACTACACTATACAGTACACACACTACACTCGTGCCAGGTACTCACTCAGCCCCGGAGCCGCGCAGTGACAGAGTGACAGTGTCGTGCTTGTCTCCGTCGAACACGTCGAGTTTCCCGACCGGCAGCAACTCGACGTCGTCCTGCGGATCCTCCTCCACTCGGAACTCGTACTGCGGATATCGGAACCTCGGCTCCCACTCATTCACGTTTAATACTGTTATGTTTATTGATGCTGTGTCGTTCTGAAACAAAAGGAAAATAAATTATTCTTTTGGAAGATGTCTTTCTGGTCTAATTGAAATAAATGATTTTGACTTTGACTCCTTTCTCTCAACTTTCAAGTTCGATTAAAAATGATCTGATATGAATTTCTTACCGAGACACCATCGGTCACCATGACTTGATAATGATAAGAATCTGCAGTCTCATAGTCGAGTGGGCGACGTAGTACCACCTCGCCTGCGCTGTTGATGGCGAACTTATCGAGGAAGGAGCGGTCCGACACGTAGAACTGGAGGTTATTCTGAAATTATAGATCGTAACTTGTTACATTTGCCGCCGCCGGAACTAGATATGTATGCAGTGTGTACGTACGTGTGCGGGCGGCGCGGTGGTCAGAGTGAGCAGCGTGTGTCCGGGCGGCGCGGCCTCGCTGACGGCGGCGCCGTACTGCCCGCCGGAACTAGATATGTATGCAGTGTGTACGTACGTGTGCGGGCGGCGCGGTGGTCAGAGTGAGCAGCGTGTGTCCGGGCGGCGCGGCCTCGCTGACGGCGGCGCCGTACTGCCGCCGCCGGAACTAGATATGTATGCAGTGTGTACGTACGTGTGCGGGCGGCGCGGTGGTCAGAGTGAGCAGCGTGTGTCCGGGCGGCGCGGCCTCGCTGACGGCGGCGCCGTACTGCCGCCGCCGGAACTAGATATGTATGCAGTGTGTACGTACGTGTGCGGGCGGCGCGGTGGTCAGAGTGAGCAGCGTGTGTCCGGGCGGCGCGGCCTCGCTGACGGCGGCGCCGTACTGCCGCCGCCGGAACTAGATATGTATGCAGTGTGTACGTACGTGTGCGGGCGGCGCGGTGGTCAGAGTGAGCAGCGTGTGTCGGGCGGCGCGGCCTCGCTGACGGCGGCGCCGTACTGCCGCCGCCGGAACTAGATATGTATGCAGTGTGTACGTACGTGTGCGGGCGGCGCGGTGGTCAGAGTGAGCAGCGTGTGTCCGGGCGGCGCGGCCTCGCTGACGGCGGCGCCGTACTGCCGCCGCCGGAACCTCACGCCGGCGCCACGCGCGACGTCGCGGCTGACGCCCAGTGTCGCCAGCGCGTAGCGGTCAGAGTTATCTACTTGCGTCGCCTGCACAAACACCACCCCACAACAATTAATTACAAACGTCACAATTTTGATAAAAAAAAAATACCCAACTTTATTAACCGAAATTACCTTAATAACAACACAGTTACCTTAATAACAACAGTTATAGGTTGGCTTAGCTCATCGATGAGTTGCTTAGTGGCAGTGATCTGTCCTGTATCTTTGTCCACCACCAGCAGTCGTCCATTATCGCCGGTGGCGGAGTACTGCAGCGGTGCATTGATTCCCACGTCTTGGTCTGCGGCTGATATCGGTCCTGGTGATGTCATTAGTATCGTACCCTGGAACACGAGAAAGAAAATCATTATTTCGTTAGCCATAGTTGTGACTAGTCTATTAATGTTTGATTCCAACTGACCTCTTTGGCGTCTTCAGGTAGAGTGGCAGTGTAGTGGTCATATGTGAATTTAGGGTTTTGGTCATCAGCATCCAGTACTTGTACTTGCAGAACTGTATCATTATGTAGCGGGGGAGTGCCAGCGTCCTGAGCGCGCAGCGTGACCGTGAAGTTACTCAGAGTTTCATAGTCCAGGGGTTTCTTCACCACCAACACGCTGTCCAACTCGTTGGAGAATCCCAGGTACTCCTGCAAAAGTGATTAAACTGATTAGTCAACCGAGTTTCTTATTTAAAACATTGCATTTTTCTTTTGTCTGCGGCACTGCAATAAAAATCCTCGCTTCTTGGAATTAATTTGATTTATGGAATAGAGAAGGGTAATGGAAGGTAAAGCGTACATGGTTGGGCCCGGGCAGCACGGAGTAGTGTATGGTGGCGTGCGGGCCGGGCTGGTCGGCGTCGAGCGCGCGCGCGCCCACGGCCACGCGCGTGCCGGCCGCCGTCAGCTCCGACAGCCGCACGCGGTACGGCGCGCCCACCCACTGCGGCGCGTTGTCGTTCACGTCCCACACGCGCACCGACACCGGGATGATGAAGCTCTGGAACCGACAACGAGTGTTGGAACTGCACCAAATGAAATCAGCACTTCGTATATGCTTATAAATCAAACCAAACAAATAAATAAGTAGATATTTGTAGCTATACCGCCGAAATAACCACATAGCAAAAATGACGGATGCTATGGGCCTCGTAGTAGCGTCACTGCAACCAATTAAATTTAATTGCTTAATCTGCAAGCACTGCGTTTAGACGCACTTCTTTAAAAGGCATCATTCCAAGGAACCTTACTAAAGCTCCACGGAGCACGTCCAGAGATTATTCTGATGACCAGAATGCTCCGTCTTCCGCGACATGATAGCATTACTACTCAATTACAAAGTAGGTTTGTATAACAGAGCAATTGAACATAACTAACGGGGTCAGTGGTTCGTCTCCTATCGCAGCGCACGTTGACGTACACGTTGGAGGGCCCGCGCTTCTCCTCGCGGTCGAGCGCGCGCAGCAGCGTGAGGTTCTTGGTGCCGGGCGCGATGCCCACCGCCGCGCCCTTCTCCTGCAGCCGCAGCGATATGTCGCCCTGCTCCTCGGACGGGTCGCCATTCACACTGAGTGTACCTGAAACATTTTATTTCTGACTTGAGTCCCGCACTGTTGGTTATTAACCAACTCAAAATAGTATAAATATAATATGTGAAATCTCTCGTTTACGACGACTATAGATATCGCAATGATATTTACCAATGATGCTGCCGACGGGTGTATCCTCGCTGATGAAGAAGCTCTCGACAGCACCGCCATTCATCAGGTAGCAGCGACTGTCCTGAATAGCTGTAATGAACACAATATCAATGTGGTAAGGCCACAATCTCACAGAATGAAACTTGGACGCCGCGCGCCGCTACATGCTAGTACATACTGGATTACCTCCGAGCCTCTCTGTGTGCGCTGCACAAACAAATGAACACACGGTCGTTATTAACACTCAGTAAACAAAATAAAGTTTAGTGCTGGGTAAAGTGAGAACATTTCAGTTCAATAGATTACCTAAATATAGATAGAAGCGTATGATTAATGACGTGTATGTGGGTCAGCAGGTATGTAAGGTCAGTGAAGTATTTAGTCAGTGTCAGTGCTGTTGGTGTATCGATGAATCTATCGGATCCAGGTCGCGGTGTCTCGTCCACTTATTTATCCAGGACAGAGGGAGGAGGGCGAGGGAGGTCATTTCCTCCCTCACTACACAACTCTTACCACCTTATAGATAACTTATTGACTTAAATAAATAGATATGCAAATCGTTTCACCGTTGGACGTCGGTTTCCGCAAATTTATGTAGGGGATTTGAAACATTTACTTGGGCCCATATGTTTTAGTTTTTCTTGAGTCAATTCGGTAGGAGTATACCTACTAAAGTCTTTCTTTACGTATCAAATGTAACGTGGCCTAGCTTTTTATTATAATATTGGTCATACGTTAAACTGATATTGAATATCAGTGACTGGACGACCAAGGTCTATTAAAACGAGAAGCGAATAACGTAAAACACGTACCTATGTAACTCTTCGAATACGATGATGATTAGACGCCAGTCATCAAGTGAATGTCTTAGTAACCCTTTGATGAGTTGTCTCAAAACTTAGCAAGTATTGTATGTAAATTATTCTTACAAAATGAGTATATTGTGCAAGTGAAACGTCGAATTTTGTGCGCAGCGAAGCATGTGATTGGTATAGGTACTTACATTAAATACTTGATTTACATCCAAGTCAGTGTTAGCAAGGATGTTTCAGTTCGTTTCGTAACTTCCTTACATATGTGTCACGTAAGTATCGCATTCAACAAGTTCATTAGACACCGTGTAGGCGTGTTGTACAAGAAAAAAGTGCGGATGGTATAAAAAGTGTAATGTGTGGAGGCGCCGCGCGGCGGAGCGTGGCGAGCGGGGCATACTCATCGTGCTGGAGGACCGAGACACGAGTCGTGACTCACCTGTACTGTATCGCGCAACACGATGCACAACGCCACACGTCTTGCCTAGTCCATTCAGGCTATACTAGACATTTACTAAGCATAAGAGACCAATTACTTTTCTCGTTACAGAAATATGATTACACATCTTTCTTTCGAGATATAAATTACAAGATACGTAATGATTTTGGAAAAAAATCTTCAGAACAATCTCTTTACACAGCAATCAGTGTATGCGTACGTGAGTTCTTACTTTCGCAGAGCATGATAATTTCCCCAGTTATTATGTTTTATATGCGACCTATCACGAATGTAACCTGTGGCACGCACTCTGCCCATAAACCACATCTCGACGAGCACCTCGGACACATCCGCCGCACAATATCATTACGAACAACAACACGCAGATAGACGCAGCACACAGTGACGACCGGACAGTGAAAGTGACTCGAGAGCCGGACTAACGAGACATATTCATTTAATTTAACATTTCATTAAATTAATTGAAACAATTACACGTGCGATACAGAAGATAATGGGACTGCCATATTATTAAAAAGTTTTGGTTTTTGTAAGTGCAACTTGATGCAGACTTGCTTTTTTTTATTGACGATACCTTTAAAAGACTGTTGACTGTCACCTTCCCAGTGGTCACCGTAGACACAACTCCACAGCATGTGATGCATTGGAATAGGTATTGACCTACTACGAATGCCGTAAAGAAACCTACACGTCACAATAACTCAGTAATTATAAGTACCTATTGCGTACAAATATCTCTAAACATATGTAAGACATGCATTTGTAATTACAGTTTTATGAGCGTGAACAGTACGATGTGACAAAGGTCAACGACCGACCTAGGTAGTTTAGCACAGACGCACCATGCCATGGTGGCTGCCAGTGCAGTACTAATAGATGAAGATATCAGTTTTACACACACAATTAAATCATGATGACACCTATTTAACTTCACTTGCGTAGCTATGGAATTATATTGTTTGTTGTTTGGCCACACCTCTCACCTTGTTAGTAAATATTCGGATGTAACCTCGGGCCAGATACAGGATGTAATCAATGAGATACGTGTCCCGCTGTTGAGGAAGGTTATGGTATGTCCAACACTGCGCTACAAGCGCTACGCGATTTACGATGTGCGGTAATACGCAACGCTCCATAGTATTTTCCATTGTTAGAACCATGAAGCAAATACAGATTAGCTTCATGATTAGAACGGAATATTTATCCATTACCGTATTTATTATTGCCAATAGGGAAATCTAATTTGTGTACACCATAATGATAAATGAAATACTTTAACGTGAATTTGTAATTAAACTAAGTGAACGTGCAGTCAAACATTACGTTGTATGTACTACGTGTACTACCACTACGGCTAACTACGACGTGTAGTGCTGGCAGTCCTCACAGTCCTGCTGACTCACCGCGGGACTTGATCGACAGCGCTATGGCGGCGACAGTGGCGGCAGGCGCAGGCTCAGCACTCGGCTCGCCCTCACCCACCCGCCACGAGAGCCGCCCTGTACGGTAGTCAGTACAATAAAATTTATACTAACTACTCCATAATGTCTAACAATTCATTTACATAGAGCCAGTACCACAATACAACGACATTACAATTTCAGTAACAATAAACAAAAAATGTATAGCGGCGGCTAACATGTTAATTCCCACGATGGCGCTGTCCAAACAAAATAGTGAAACAAACTGATCATAGATAAAGTACCAGCGGGCAGTCAGCTAATAAAACGTTTTCATGGCAGGTGCGCACGCGGCAGAGACAACTGGAGCACCGGAAGGTGGCCGCGCAATAAATCCCCCTCGCCACTTCCGGCGGGGTCGAAGCTACCCGACGCGGGTTTGTACTCACTGATGTGGGTCGGCCACGCCACCACCCCCCGTAACACAGATTAACCATTGATGATTACATTAAAATATTGAAGCCTCTATAAAATATAGAGGTTTATTGTTATTATAGTGCGTATTTGTGATCTTCATAAACTAGGCTCTCAATACACCGTACCGTACCGGCGTTACGAGAGGACTTCGGCGCTGCAGGAACATCTTGAAATATTTTTTTTTTCTTTTTAAAAGTACCTACATACATAACTTAATTCTATTCCGAATGTTCACGTAAGAAGTTGTGCAGAAATAGAAATTATTGTGGACATTTGTTGTGGCCAACGGGATACAGACGATTATCCAATAAATCTTGATTGATAGAAATCTACTAATACTTACTTATTGTTTACTCAAGAAAGAAAGTGTATGCGTTTTATTTTGTACTTGTTTCTCTTATTAGATCATGCTATAAGTACTTATATTGGTACTTAAAACTTTCTTAGAGCAATATATTATTATCAAACTGTGAGCACGCTCATGCATTACCTGCCTGCACTGCCTGCCCAGTGACAGTGCACTCAAATTGTATTATGACTGAATGGTAATAACAATTGATTACTATTTAAGAAAGCTCACGTGGACAATTGATATAATATAGATACCATAGAAGTCAACGTACAGAAGTTGCAGATTCTGGCTTTGCTAACGTTTTGTGGCTGAAATGTATGTCCTAAGATGTATGATGGATGTTGTAAGATGAGCAAACTGTTGGCTGTTTGCCCTGTGGGTGATACAGAAATATAAAAAACAGTGGGTGAGATACATTTTCACTTATATCTGAGTACTTGGTAGTTTCCAATAATTTCAAGGACAATTTATTGTATAAACGACGTCGACGTGACGGTACCGCGGGGAAAGGCGGACGCGGTCTCATCGAGAGATGGCTATCTGTCGAATTACGGCGATTACGAGCTGGTGATAGTTTCCGATCTGATTCGTCATCTCCTACACCGCCATTACTACATTAAGCGCCTTATTACCAGATAATGGACACTTAAACGTCGTATCTTTACTTTCTTCTCACAACTATTATGAGCTACAAAATGCCAGCCTAATGGTATTGTTATTGGACATGGAAACTGTACCTCAACGTATACAAAAGTATTTGTTGCCGAGTATTGTAGTTTTAAGTTTCAACGTTTGGTGTCATCTTCGCTTAAATTGTAAATTCTCCTTGCTAGGTGTGTGGAGGTGCGTGGCAAGTGGCGATGGCGGAAGCACGCATGGCGGCACTCGACCCCACCGTGCACCGGCCGCCGGCCACCGCTCCATGCACTGCGCACTGCGCATGCGATCATCGGACTATAGTAACAAACTATCGAACTATGCAATACTATAATACCCGATGATGCATCACTGTTTATTTAAAATGTCCCAAACTCAAATGTCCATGCCATTTTATAAAAAGGTCGGTTAAATGAGTGATGCAACGTGAGTGTTTGCGTGTATTATTATTTTTCTCCTTAGTCCATTGCTACGTTTACCCGTGACATGATTTTTTAAATAACATGTACAAATCAATTGTGTACGCTGTCTTTTTGTAATCAAAGAGAACTCATAACCGCAAAAGTTATTACAAATAATTCTCCGCTCTACATTTACTAATAAAACGTCAATTAACTGCAAATAGCTGTCACGTCTACACCATGGATGTAGAACTGTACCGCGGAGAGAGAGTGATGCGCCGGCGCACCGCGTTCATTACGTAACGGTAATGTCAATTCAAATTAAGTTCAGAACGGATTAAGGAATTAATTTCGATTAGACATTAGTTTTGGTGTTGAACTGAATCAATTAAAGTTTAGCAATGCATTGTTTGCTTTGGAAATGATAAATGTAACTGTTACGATGAATAATTTGAGAACTTATTATTATTGTTTCTTACAGTGTGTCCCCAGTCCCTCCAATGTGTACGCTGCCTACATAGGTGCAGGCCCAGGGTTTCTACAGCCTTGTACTGTTGTACGGGCGGGCGTCATTACTTGTGGCCATTACTTTAAATCGCTTTAGAAACAAAAGGAAGAGTGCGTTTTGTTAGAAGCAGAATATTAACGATTTGGAGAACAATGCATTTCCGACAGCTCACTGGATGTACCTATTACCTTGCTTCACCAATAATGTTACTTCAAGTACATACATACGTAGACAATACACATACATACATACACATATACTTGCCTACTTAACTCCATATGAATATGTGTACCTACCCTACCTAGACTAGACTAATTGTACATTGTGTATAATGTGTTTAAGCTTTAGGATTGTAAAGCCATTCTGAAATGTATTTTCTCTAGTTTCGTTATACTTAGATAGTGATAGAACAGATTTCAGGATATTGATATCCACAGAAATAAATAAAAGTAGAAACTTTATTTATCAAGGTCTACTTATTAGTTGGTTGTTGAATTAAATAATAACATATTGCGAACAAGATGTTTTTTTAATTAGCTGTCTTTTCCAGCAGTTGTATTATGAGACCCATTTTTAGCGAGTATGCATTCTGTCTTTATGAACTGAGAATTTGCGATTGTGATAACCGAAATTCCAATGTTCTATATATACGACCGGGAACCATTCGATCTGTGTAACCTAACAACCTAAGTATAAGTTTAGGTAGATAGGCAATTATGAACATTCCTCGCGTGTATTCACTTTACGCCAGTAGATGTTTATACTTGCAGTTGAGTGAGGGACGCTCATGAAAGTATTACGTACGTGGTAGGTAACTTATGCAAAAATATTTTCACAACATAAACATACGCTAGGTACCTAAGTATGTAGCTATTATAATTCTAGTTGTCCACATAACTCATGCGCCATGTCTCCAGCTTTCCTTACACACATTTTCATAAAAATTAACATAAATATCAGATTGGAAGGATATGAATTCTTTTCAGTATATGTAGACTAAGCTATATAGGTTTATTATAGCCTACATTTTACAGTAACACCTCCACCGTCCCCGTGACTCACAACAACGAGCGAACGCTTCGACAACGTTGCCCCAATTTTGACCGGAATGGCGTGCGATCTCAGTGTTATTAAACGATTTAATCGTTACAGAAATTTAATAGTTGAAGCGTTTACACCCTACGATACTACTCTCCTGAACTATGTGAACTTAATTGAAGCAAGTAAATAAACCTCGCATGCCTCGTGTGCTGAAGTAAAGCGGTTACAACGCGATTATTTCAGCAACCATTTGTTTTACCAATCTACGATATAATATTGCGTGACGGCTACAGATCACGCCAAGTATTAATTACAATCAGCGCTATGCTCTTACAAAATGACATTTACGAGTAGATATTTAGCAAATGACCGTAGAAAAAACGATTAATTACACGTTTACATAATGTTTCAACAAATTCTGAGCATGAAATGAGTTGCGATATTTCCCGTGGCTTGTCTTGTCGCCGTTACTTCACAAAGTGTGACACAGGAGGAAGTCGCGGCCCGGACTATGAACAATGGACCACCGAGACTGATCGGCCGCTCGCCTACTACCCGCTAGCTGCAATGGTGTGACTTACTGTCTCCACTGCCGTCTTTACTGTTTACTATGTTGGTGCAAGTAGATGAGGCTTCATAGGATATTGATATTTTATCAAAGCTACTAAGAATATATTAATACTAAAGAATGACAAATGTTTTGAAACCTGTCTACCCTGCTGAAAGTTTTAGTCACGTAATCTTTTAACAATTGTATAGAAATGTTGCGATGTTGCATAGATAAAAAATGCTTCACTATTATAGCCCATAATAAGCAGAGGTAGTGGCATACATTGTCAGGACTAATTAAGTTAAACCCTTTAATTTACGTAAATTGTGTGTTCGTGAATCCGGTGTTGAGTCACCGCGGGGAACTGTTCGCTGCACGCTGTTGCTGTAACTGTCATGGAGTAAACTAACTGTTACTGGCGCAATAACAATTAGCCATTGTCCCGGTATATCACAACTGTTGGAACAGTTTCGTGCAGGCGTGTGTCGTGTTCAAGGTTCACGCCTTTCTCCCAAACGAACTCCATCAAAGAAGTAACTTTCGGTGGTACTTTAAGTTTTAATATAAATCACTTTAAAACACGTTAACACTATAATAGACACGCACTTTTGGAGAGAATAGGTCAATCGGTACCTTGGTGATACGTGGCAATTAGAAAGGGTTACAAAGTCATTGGTGGGTTTCACTTAGATGATAATGTAATAATTAAATAACAATAATAGTGCAGGGAAACACTGAGTGTGGCGGTCGTTGACCCCAGCCAGCAGGGAGTACCAGACTGGTCAGCACGCGACACTACACCACAAGCCAGTCATTGCTGATACAGATTAGCGATAACACAACCAGGAAGACGCCCGTACTACGACACTCCAATTATTGAATGGTGCGCTGAACATCTTCATGATATGACTTTATCTTCCTATTGCCTTTATCATAAACTACTTGTAATCGACACTCTGCACTACAATGTCTACCTACTTCTTCCATTCACCAATGTAAGACGACCCAACTTGTAAATGTTTTCTTTCAAATCATTCCTCACTCAATCTATTATTCTTCTCTTTGTGTCTTCAACTCACGAGTTTCGTTATGAGAGCGAGGTTAATATTATGCTTCCTGATCGATCAATTTCGAGAAAGTGCTCATCCGTAACTTTTAAGCAAGGATACCTATTTCTATTACTCTGTGGTGGTGATCTACACTACGCTCATGGGTAATACTCAAGTAATAATATTTTAAGTTCAATTAACCACCAGTTTCTTTCATAAAGATTTACTTCACAACAAATCATGATAATGAATGAAAGGACCATTGTATTTCGTAGCGAATGCGAGTACGTAGTAACAAATAATACAATTAAATAAATGAGTTACATGACGTGCAGTAATTGTAGTCCTGAACGTTGCTACGGCAGTGCTACGACGTTGCTACGGGAGTTTATCACGCGGCGTCGTAGCCGTAGTGGCCGCGGGTGGCGCGGGGTCGCGGGCCGGTCAGCGAACGCGCGCCCCTCGCCAAATAAAACAACAACCCTGCACTTGTTTGAGCGGCCTCGTTTGCACGCCGGGGATTTCTTTGTCTGACACACTTCACTAATAACTTATGCATGAATACGAGTAACACCACTCACTCAATGTTTTGATTTGTTGGAACTGTGCCTGAATATTGTACAGTACTAGGGGACGTTCCAAATATTACAGTATCATTACGATTTTTGGTTCTGCGAAGGGTGAGACGAGGTGCAGAAGGTGGCTTTGTTGATGGTGACAAATGACAACACGTCAGTAACATGATGATACAATTTATGTAGGAAATAAAAACCATGGGAACAGAGTCCGACCGAAATGCATAGGCAGATAGTTACTTGTATAGGTACATTTATCTCATACATATTCTCAAAGTAACAGTATGCAGTCGTATTGTAAGCGAACACCTCGCCTCGACGAGCTAGGTAGGTAGGTACATTAGAATGTGATTGCAAAAGTATGCAGCGAACTAACAAACGACTTGTTTCCTAAGGATAATTTGGTGGCGGTGAACGTGCGCCCGCGCCAGCCGGAGAGAACTCGTCTACGAGCAATACTTGAACCAAACCGTGCAATATTGAGTAACAGTGGGTTTTAGATACAGACATTGATATTTCTTTTTGATTTTCCTGACATTTTCACATTTGTAACCTTTAGATAAAGCAGAATAACTTTGAACTACGATCATCCCACGAGCAATGAGACAGACAAACGACTTGTTGTACTGTAACATAGCTCCAAATTACCGAATTGTATAGAGCATTGTCGCGTAATTCTCATCAATAGTTGACATTAAGCAATGTAACTAATTCTATAAAGTACACAAAGCGGTCAGTTAACGTAGAATAAAGCAATCTATCTATCGGTTTGCCGGCGCGAGCGCTAGACGCCCGCTCATTCATTGGTTGTGAAACAAGTGCACACATGATACTCTGCAGTACTCTTTATTAGGTACTTACTTTCGAGTATCAGTACCCACAGATATTAAGGTAGTATACGATATACAGTATATTCTCTGGTGGGTACTCTTCAACTGGTAAGTACTACGTAAACGATTAAATAATTTTTTTCCAAATAGGAAGTTGGAAAAATAATTTCACGCGGCTGCGCTCGCACTAAACTGCAGTAAAATTATTCTTCAATTTTAAAACAAATCGATTCCGTTATTCTGATAGCAAACTGGTAACCGTAAGATGGCGAGTGAGGTAATGCTAAATAATATATACAGAGAATTGCAAACGTGGACATAAGTACCTATACCGTAAAAGTCTGAAGGTCGACACCGTCGACGTTGGGCAGCTTTATCCTTTAGCAAATTTCTCGATATCTACTTATCATCGGGTTTTTTATCCTTAGTTACTTACTCTCCTTGAACGAAGGAGGCCTTCGTAAAACAGTGCAAGCCTAGAATTTCGTAGAACAGTGTGTGCTATACATGTGGAATGGTACGAACCTTGTGCCTGGCCATGGTGCGCCAGTGAGAGCAGCGCGAGACACAGGGTGAGCGCGCGCATGCTGCCGCTACCGCTGCGGAGGCATGCCCGCAGCCCCGCACACACGCTGTATACAAGGGACACACAGTTAGACAATAATAATAACATACATATTATGTTTGGGAGGAAATATTGTATTACTTCCTAGTTGCTACAAGGTATCATGTCAGATCACAAAAAATATGAATTACGTACAAAAATTAATTATGTTCGTAATTTTACTACACACACATACACACACACACACATAAATTATTTTTATTGTAGTTTTCATTTTGCGTAGGTTATATTTCTCTTTTAAGAAAATGTAATAGTCTAAGTAATTATGTTTTGTGTGATATCAATCAGTCGGGCAATTAAACTCATGCATGTAACAGACAAGATCAAATAATTTCTGGTGACTGCAGGCACTTTCGAGTTGATGATGTTCTAACGCGTGACAGTACAATATCTACTATATCTTTAGTACCTGCTTACTGTAGAAAACTGACCGCTTAACGAGCATTCCACACAGACATCGTGAAAATATGCTCCTAATCGCAACACAATAACTGTAAAATGGTCACTTTATTTCATAATCTGCAAGACCAGTGTGATATAACAGTGTTATCCTACTTCGTAATGCGTTCCATCGCTATCTGGCATCAGCTTACAATAAATATAAATTATGTATACAGTTCGCGAGCCGAACCTCTCGGGGCTTTATTTAGAAAGCGGAAAAAACATCAGCATCAGTGCAGCCATTGCTGGCACATTTCGCTTTCTTCAACCGTCGGTACATTTACATGTTATGTGATGCGGACATTGTTTTGGGCCACTCGCACCTACTACACGGAGCACTCATGTATCTAATAGCTCTAATCGGCTCTTTATAGACAATGTGTTATCCCTTCCCTGTAATTCCTATCAAACATGGCCGTCGGAATTCGAATATCGTTTACCGCCTGATTACGACTGCTCATTTCATGGTGAAATTGTATCGATAAATCAGGAGAAAGCAATTGTATTAAATAGAAACTAATTGACTTTTTGACACATTCACTACAACCATAGCAGGGATCAAGAGCAGTTGGTTTCGCATTTAGTGGAAATTACTCATGAAATTATGTGAATTTATGATGCTTGGAGGAGTGCTATGGTTAATTCACTTCTCTCGACCCGTGTCGTGTGAAAGTCCTGTTATGACAAGCCACGACTATTACAGCAGTCTCGTAACATTGAATCTGTTATCAGTGGTGCACTATGATGCAGCCAGTCGAGTGCGCTGGGAACACAAGGTCTTTGTTACTGTTGGTGACACTCACTGTGTCATTGGGACACGCGCTGCTGCGATACGCTTGTAGTAATATCGTTTGTGATCCTACATTAATCTAAGCTAGTCTCACATGGAATTTGCCGAAATGAAGAAGTAAAGAATGCCTATGCTTATAAGGTTGTACGAAATTAAGATAACAATACATAACACAATAAGCACCTATCATAAACAAGCATCGGAGTAGGGAGCGTGGGGCTCACCTCCACTGCTTCACTAGTCGCCGATATGATGTATGTCAAGGGGTGTACGGTCAAATTACAAATAAAGTTTAACTTTACAGCATGACAATAATAAAACCTGTTGGAGGTCACACACGAGCGGGTGCAGGCGATCGAATGACGAGGGGCGAGATGGACAACAGCTCTATCAAGCGAACAGGATTTATTTACATAACTCTGTATATTGATTGATATATTGTAGTATTAAGTAGTCTGCTTTATGATATTAGTATGAGCATGTCAGTTAAGGTAACAGTGTTTCCGCGCGGGCTGGCACTCGCCACGCGGCATCGATGCGCAACGCGGTCGCGACACCGCGCGGTATTCTTGAGAGCTTATACATAATACAACAAGTGGCACTTCTATAACGCCACCGTAACTGTGTCTTATTATTCCACCTAACAAAAATATTCAAGGCCATAGCAATCGAAATTTATTGTTTGATGATAACTAATGGCACAAACAAAACGAACTTTTGGGGATTCCGATTCCGACTGACGACTACTTTCCAGTTACACAGGGGTCCTCAACTGTTGCAGGCTTCCCCGAACTAGTATGAATAAACAATTTTTTTCTTCTATTGTTCTGATACTCTTAAAATGTTGCAGATTAACTTCAACCTATCCTAACTGAACACTGCGTGTGTGACGCGTGTGCTCGAACTGGGTCTGTCCGTTGTACGGCGCGGGCGCCGCCGTCAGGCGTCACGGAGCTGCAGTTTTTACCAACCACTATCACAGAGTTGTACAACTGTACGTCTATTGTCTACTCTACTGCGATAATACCATAAAACGTAAATAAGTTATACATCCTGTTTTACCAATATGGGCATTGCTTCTCGATCACTCGATGATCTGCTACTTCAGTCTGGTTTTAATTATAGGCGTATACCAGTAGATGTTTGTATTTCTATGATCGTGCTTATTTACACCTACCACAAATTACAAGACCCGTGATGCTATTGGAAAACAATATAAATTCTAGTTAATTATATTATTGCATTTTTATCAATGTTCAACAAGGCAATGTAATTGATGATAGTCGGGTATTGTACAGGATAATATTTGGTAATACTTATGTAATAAATATTCACAGTCCACTTATTGTGATAAAGTAAAATGACCCTGGACCATTCACAAGTATAAGTATCATACAAATAAGTTTTATACCTTGATTAAGATGATTCAGACAGCCCAATATTGTAGCAATCGGAAACTATGGAACTCGAAAGTCTCATAACAATTGGTGTTCGGAACAGTAAATGTTCAAAGTTTAAAGTAAAACAACAAATGGGCATTATGGACAACATCTTTTGACCTTACAATTGGCTAACCAATCGTACGGATAAGTGTCAGTTACAACTACTGAAAGGACATCCCTTCGTTTGGCCATAATCTTCACGCTTGGCGAGTGATTTGCTAGTGGCAGTAGGTTACCCAAAAAAGGTGTTACTCCACGACCCTCAGGAATGTTTAAGATAGTTAAATCATAGGTGGCAGAGAGGAGTAGGATTTGACTGATTTAGTAATGAGTGCCAAGGTTTGGAAAAAGGAGCCACAGGCTAAGGTCATCTGAAACCGCGTCGAGTAGATGATATCATCAGAAATGGGTAACAGACAGACGGGGGTTGCACAGAATCGAGAGGTAGCTACCTCTATAGAAGAAAAAGGGAGCCCTGTGAATCCGGGTATACGACAAGTTTTCAAATTAGAAATAGCAATAATGGTTACTCGCAAAAGTCACAAGGTGCATGGAGTGATCATAGGTATAGTTAGGGTAGTGCGGATGCATGCCCCCTCACCGCTGCTCAAGCGTGTCTGTTTCTACTGCTCGCAATTCGTAACGGACTCCAAGGGGACACTGGACAACTCCAGCACCGACTTACTTCACCACCCTTTTACATTAAGATACTTTTATTTTTAAGTACCTATTCGGAAAACAATACTTATAAATAAAAAGTTTTACTTCAAAGACTGTGTTGTTATAAAAAATATGGAACTGTTTTTACACATAATTTAGTCACGCCTTGTGATCCCCGAAGAGATATGTAGGAGTGCAATTATTTCGTACTTAAGTTTTGAGTTCCATTTCGGTACGGATAGTGGATAGTACGAAAACGTCTAATGAAGGCCCCAACCAGGAATCGAACCCGACAACGGTCCAGCTTGCGATCAGTCGGAAAACGAGGCAAAAACTTTACAAACTTATTTATTTATTTATTTATTCAAATAGGTATACCAACAGCTTCTGTATACATAGCATTAAGTGATTTGAAAGTAACATTAAGTATTTAGGCTTATACAGTCGCCAATTATAGGTTAACCAACATGCAATTACTTAAGTGATAAAAAAAAACTATACCTAAATACAAAAATGAACGAGATTGTTTCTTGGAACCCAGGTAGAGTCGCAATCTAAGTAGATTGTTATCCAATCTGTAATCGTTTGATAGATAGGTACTCAAACTAGATAGTTAGACTTTGCGTCCTACAGATAGTTATCTAAAATACATAAGCTATAATTTACTTACACGCGTTTCAAAATGTGAAGAAACAGTGCAATTTTTACTTCAACAGGTAACTATTTACCAAACTTGAAACGAGTCACTTTACTTAAACTTCACTAATAAGTCGGATTCACAAGAAGAACCTAAGATCCACAGATGTAAAGTAGTTTCAAAATATTTCAAACTTAGAGGTACACACCGAGAACGCAAACGGTTGCGTTACGCGTGAGTTCGCAGGTGTCGAGCGTGGTGGCGCGGAGCACCGGCAGTGAGGTCGTGAGTAGACTGGGGCTGCACGCTCCACGACGCGGCCGCGGCCAGCCGGGGCGCACGCCGCGTGGGGGTGGGGACCCGCCACGGCCCGATGCCCACTTCGCGGTCTTTACATCTACGTGCATCATACAATACTTATGGTCACATTAATGTGATTACAAATCAAATAAATATCTTATTTGGGCTGCAACTATCGCTATGTATTGTAGGTAGGTATCTAAGTACTGTAGAGTTAAGGATAAGTAAAATATAATGAACAGGCATAATACACATTACCACTGTTGGCATATTAACGAAGTATCTTGACTGCCTCATTGGTCCTGTGCAAGGATGTTGATAGTTTTTTTACGTCCTTGATTTTGTGGACTAGTTTGGACGTGAATTACTTAGGCCTAAGTTCCAGGTTTGACTCCCAATCCCAATGCTTATTCATTTGTGTTCCATTAATTGTTATTAGTCATGTATCAAGTAGATAATGCAAAGAAGAAAGCTAAGTATTTTTAGGCACTCTCCATCTTTGAAAATAGCAATGTTGCAATAATTATAATTATTCTGGCAGGTTGGATGTATGTTGTATTGATATGTACTAAAAAAAATTGCAAGCAAAACATTAAAACCCCAAGCAATGGAAAACACAATTCAAAGCGCAAATGTATTTGTTGTTAGGAAAATGTATTTGTTCTTGACCGCTTGGTGTTTGACAGTTTAATACTTTAATACATGCAAACAAAATGAGAAATTTCGTGAGTCATACTAAATGAATTATTATGTTTTCTACAGTAGCAGCGCGACAGTCGCCGCGTCGCGGGTCGCGGAATGCTGCTCATGAATATGAGCCTGTAGCATGGCTTGAAACTAGTCGAGTTCCTCGTCAAATTATTACGTAAGTAAGCCGAAAACATAATAATTAAAATGAGAACTTTACAAAAAAAGATTTTGTAATAATTTCTTTTCATTATATTTAAACCAATACTTGTAAGTTCAAATAAAATATTATATTATTATATTTGTTTCTATTTTAATTTATTTCTTTTCAAGCACTTTAATGGTAATGCGTATAAAGAATTTTCTACTTCTCAATGTCTTACATGTGTCAATTTAATTGTCAAAAATGACATTTGACAATTTGGTATTGTCATACGTCAACGGGAAAATAACTTCAGCTTTGCTGGAAAATGTCATTCGCCTTGTATGCATTTTGTTTTTCTTTTGTAATAAATATTAATTGGCTTGCTAAAAACAAGTAATGATAGAAAATTAGATCATCCTTTCAAGCAACATTTTTTATAGTTAAACGTGATGTAGAAGCGGACAGCAATAATTTTTACAGAGGACAAATTGGATGTGTTATAGAAATGGCCGAAACGAGTACAATGAACTCCGATAATAAAGTGGAGCAGAACGAGAGGAAACAAGACATGGAGGATATTAAGACCGAGACCGAAGTGCAGGTGAAGCACGAGCAGTTGGAGTGTATAACGTGCGCGAGCCGCAGCCACGACTGTGTGGATATTTACTCCACGAGAACTGTCGCGTCCGGTGCCAAACTCAGCACCTACCTGCACAAATATACGCAGATTGAACTGGTCAGCCTGCAGGCCTGCTCAAAGTACATGTGCAAGACTTGCTACGACCTCATCAACGTACTTGAGCAGGCCGAGTTAGAATACTTTAAGCTTAAAGAAACTTTTGAAGCTATCATTAGTAAGAACCCATTGTTTGAGCCACACGGAGCCCAACCGGTCAAGCTAAACGCAGTAAAAGCTGAATTTGAATGTGATGACGATGATGATGACTATGTATGCGACAATTTGGATGGAGACGATTCAGATGACGAACCACTGGCGACACAGAGTAAACGAAAGAGATACAAACTTGAAAAGAAAAAGAAAAAAGTATCTTCAAACAAACGCAAAAGTAAAGCTAACAGTGACAGGTAATTTGATCAACTTATCTCCCAAAGTTGTGAGTTTGGTATGTTAGTGATAAACATCAATCAATGTTCTGTGGGGAATAAATTGACTCCGGATAGCACTGGTGTGGAAACTTACATGTTTTTAGATATCTGACATTAGATTTATTGAATTGGGTATATTTAGTGAAATTGTCCTGTAATGCTGCAGTGTAATACAGATGCAAAGTAATCCAATTAGTTGTACAACTAGTTATCTAGTGTGCCTGTGTTGTTATCTTGTTTCAGCTGGAGGTGTGATGAGTGTGGAGTGAAGGGGTCGTCGGGAGGTGAGGTCGGGCTCGCCGCACACAAGTTGGCCGTACACACACTGGATGACACCGCTGCCGTGCTGCCTGAGGTCAAAATTGAGAACTCTGCTGAAGGGTAAGCAAAGAGCACTGTTTTACGACCTAACACATTCTAATTGCAAGTAAAATACACTTATACATATACAACAGTAAAATACAGTATAGTCTAAAAGCACACTTTTGTTTGTTACAAAAATTTCGATTGAGTATGTATACAAAATAAATCTTTACTCTAGAAAGATTTTTGAACTGGTCAAACCTTTTAATATGATTAAATTGACATACATGTACCCAACACTGTTTTCAGGTCACAAAGTCCTCTGTATAATAATGGCTACGGGAACTGTCTCAAAGTGGAGATAGACAATTGTGATGACTATAGTTTAGCTGTGGATGACCTTAGCAATGATGCACAACCTGTCAAAAAGAAACTCCTTGGCCGACCAGTCAAGACTAAAATGAAAACAACACAGGCCAGGAGTAAAAAAGTAAAAGTCATCCATCAGTGTGACCAGTGTGATGCTAAATATTCTTCATTGGGTGAGCTCTGACTTTTTGTATGAACCTTAAATACCGTAAAATGGGGTGAGTAGGGATCAAGAGGTGAAATGGGGACCGAAGAGGGGTGAATAGATATAAGAAAATTCCTCATAGCATCTATTCACCCCTCTTCTGTCCCTTTTCACCGCTCAAACCCTATTCACCCCATTTTACCGTTACTAAACTTCCTGGAAAGAATTCTTCCTCTATGTTGTATTACCTCTGTCCCTTAATGAGTGTAACTGTATTTCGGGGTCTGCAAGTATGCTCTCCTGTCATGTTAACACATGAATACTGAAAGGCTACTTAATTTTATATTGTACTTAAATATAGTGCCATCTCTATTGTTTCACAAAGAATTTGTAGTGACAGAACTATACTTAGTCAGTCCTCTGGTGAAACTATTTATTTATAGACATACCCACATAATTTAGCAAATTGATCAAGATGATCCAAAACCAATTCATACAATGCGATACCTATGAGTAAAGTTAGGCGAATACTTATTGGGTAGAATTAATTAGATTGGAATGAATGTGTATTTGTGGTCTCAGCTCGCCTGGAGCAACACAAACAGAAGCACGACGGGTCGAAGCCGCCGTACATCTGCGAGGTCTGCGGCGCGCACTACAAGCACAAGCGGGCCTGCGACATACACATCGCATTGCATAAAGGTAACTTCATTCAACTTACAATTATTTTCATTGTACCGTTTTCTATCGCGATTTTTGATACTTATATTTTGTTTGTTGTTTTGTCTCTTCATTCCTTTCTATTCTACGACTGTTTAAGTTTCTTGTTGATATAATTGGTATTATTCATAACTAGAGACTCGAGAAATATTTAGAATATTTTAAGAACGTAATACTGCGTATATTGGATAGCGCAATTCTGTATTTAGGAAAGTACATTTGACAAAATTGAATCATTCATACTACATTTTAATGTCTTGGTCTGCTAAATTTCAGGTATAAGTGATTGGAAATGTGAAGAGTGCAATAAGTTGTTCCCGTCCAAGAATGCGCTGCAGAGGCATAATAATATACATACTGGCAAGTTGAACTATCAGGTAGGTGCAGTCGCAGCGAGCGAAGTAGTGGAACTGGGGCAGGTGGAGTGAAGCCACGCTTGTGTTGCAGTGCGACCTGTGCGGGAAGTCCTTCATCCACACGTCGTCGTTCAAGATGCACAAGTTGTCCCACTCGGGGCTGAAGCCCCACGCGTGCGACGTGTGCGGGCTGGCGCTGATGACGCGCTCGCACCTGAAGCGCCACAAGCGCGTGCACAGCGGGGAGAAGCGCCACGAGTGCGCCGTCTGCGGCAAGCGGTTCTCCGAGCGGTACAACCTCGCCGCGCACGCCAAGTCGCACGACGCGCCCGACGCGCAGGCCGCGCAGCCGCGCAGGCATCTCTTCCGCTGCCCATACTGCCCCGAGCGCTTCGAACGACGGTCGGTATCACTAACGTTCACATGCTCCCGGACATTGTTACATGCCACCAATTTGAAAACTATTAACTACTTACTATTCAAATACAATTCGGTCGATATTAGCGTTGACATACTTCTTGATGTGATGACAAACCATTTACCGTCGAAATGGAGTTAATTTTGTCGAATGTACTTTCCATATCTTCACAACAGTATAATTTCTCATCATTATTTTTTTAATATTGCTTATTATTATTTTATTACTAGCTTTTACCCGCGGCTTCTCTCGCGTCACAAAAGGATAAAAAGTAGCCTATGTGACATATACCAATACATACAGCGCCATCTATACCAATACTTTTGTTTTCCCTCGGGAATATCAAATTTTTCGGGATAAAAAGTACCCTATTATTTAATCCAGACTACTAACTCTGCAAAAATTCAATGCAATCGGTTTAGTAGTTACGGCGTGAAGTCGGAACAAACAAACAAACTCACTTTCCGATTTATAATATAAGTAAGGATGTAAAGTAAAATACAATAAAAAAATATCGGTCATTGACCTTTTGAATTACTAACCGATCCAATAAAGAAACAATGGGAACATCAGCTAATGTATTTTTCAATAAAGAAGCATTGCTGAATTGCATGTGTAGTGTTTACTACGAAATCCGAAATCAGCACAACACAATTGACAACGCTGCAAGGTTACGTTTGCCAGCTGACTTTTTGCTGACTTTTTCGCTGACAACAGAAACATCGGCCAATAACTTCGATTACGTCACGATATCATACTACATGTGCGCTTTACGGAACAAGTCACTGACAAATATTGTTTTGTTTATAAGTTATGTGAAAATTCCAAGTGTTTGTTTGTAATCAATTCACGCCGTAACTTGGCGATTTTATAGGTATAGCTTACGTCTGGACATAAGTAGCTAGGTCATTGTAGGTTTTCAGAATAGTCAGTAAGTCGGGAGTCCCGTATGACGCCAGCGTATAACGTATCACTTCCCGGCAGCTACATGTTGGAGCGGCACGCGTCGTGCGCGCACGGCCGCACGCTGGAGCGGCCGCCGCCCACGCCGCGCAACACCATGAGCAAACTGCTCAAGGCGCAGGCACAGCGCGCCCTGCCGCACCACGCCCCGCCCGCCGCGCCCGCCGCGCTCGCCAACGGACAGAGTAACTATCGCTTCACTATCTACTTTCTACTATGTGCTCTTACGCTTGCTCTACGACGTCGTAAGCGAAATTATTAACTCTCAAAGTCTAATTTATGTTAATTGTCTGTATAGAAATTTTTGTCTCATTAAAATAATCTTAATTTACTTTTCCATAGCTCATTACTTATTCAAAATAATTAACTAGGAAATTAGGATGCTGCGACATAGATCTGGAAACATCTGAAATATTTTCATTTTATGGTTTGTGTAGATGCCGATACAAAAGACGATCGAAGTTCAGACTCCCGCACCACACCCATCACTCCTCAAAAACTTATCGCACAATTATGTAAGTATTAGGTAATATGATACAAGTTAATACAGTCGATATTTGTTCATAGTTTCATTGTATGTGTATAATGTTACAGCGTCGTCTAGTTCAGTAGTGGGCGGCACGTGGGGCAGTTCGTACGCCGCGGAGTTCCTGCGACACGAGTACCCACACTGACACAACACTGTCTAACACACACACATGCATCACATACACCTGTATAAAGTAAATCACAATCACACTACCATCACATCTGAATAGTTGTCATCCATACTACTATAGTGCAATATTCTATAAAATAAAACAATGTTGAAGAGACATCTACAGTCTGCAACCCCCAGGAACTGTTGTTTTACAGGAGACATTGTTGGTGTCTAAACTACATATTTAGTAATTGCACAAATAATTTAATGTTAGCATCACAAGTAAAGAGTTTGCCCTAAACATTCAACAATGACTGATAGAATCTCCATTAGGGTAATGACTTGTATTGAACAATTTACAATATTTACACATCTAGGTACATAACTAGAACAAATGAGATAATTATAAACCAATTCTTCCAATTAACTCAAGTCTTGCATGAAATGAATATATCCAAATGTAAATACTTAGTATAGTCAGCCTAAACACAATTAGACTAGAGAAATATTATTTACTTTTAACATATTATATACTGTATAAATATTATAAATATATTACTATTTAAGTATATTGTACTATAATGTTATAAAAATATTTTTATACTAAACACATCCCTGGATTAGTTTCTTATAAGTAAAAACATTGTATTGTCATCTGATTTACTTTAAACTAAGCATTTGTATTATATTTAATTAATATACTTACAGTTAATTAAACAAAATTGTTTTTTTTATTGTTTACAATTTGGCGAAAAGTACAAGTTACGTTTTAATAAGGCAGTAAGGCAGCTTACTCCATCAAGGCAAGGAAGCGTTATGCTGTTACCCAAAGGCATAAACATCTTAAAAATTCATTTTTTATAAGCTTGTCTATGTACTTACAATACTAGAAACACGGGCCCACCCACCGAGCACTAGCGCCACTTTGACAGTTGCTAACCACGTTTGACAAATTATTAATTTGACTTTGACAATGAATTTGTCCACTCCACTACTTTTTGAAATCAGCTGACTGTCACCGAAAAGTTATGATTTTGTTTAAATAAATTATCAATACCTCGCATTAATAGATTTTGGTTCAAGTGGAGGAAAATCGTACTCTGTTACTGTAAAACTTCAAAAGTATATTTTCTAATTACCCAAGCAGTAAGCACATATCAGTTTTTAACTAGGTTATCATTAAGTCTAGGGTTTAGAAATGGCTGAGAAATATAAAGAAGATGAATTACAAATCCGGGAAGCAAAGAGAGAGGATATGACTGCGGTCGCTGAGATGATCCAAGTAAGTACGAAACATCAATATTGATAATTGGTAACAGTAAAAAAGAAAATGAGGGAGAATGGGTAAAGTTATGTGCGACTTATAGACGGAATGTTGGGATTGGGCCGTGTTAGTTCTGAAGTCAATTATTGCTATATAATTATAATTATGGAAGGGCCTTCCTTTTTACTTCTGTTGAAACGATTTTTAAATATATGCAATTTACCTAGATTGCTTTATTTTTCCAGGAACTTGCTGATTTTGAAAACATGTCGGAGGGACCTAAAATGTCAGTGACTGGTAGGTAAACCGAAAGTAACTGATTGAAAGTTGAATACCCACACAGCTACATTTACACTTATTCAATTAATTAGATTACCTATCGTATTACCCATTTAATCTTCACAATGAGATACATGTAATTTTCCTGATTTACAAAAAGTTGTTAAGTGTGTGACTATGGTTATTGTAATAATATTTCAGATCTGGAACATGATGGTTTTGAGAGGCAGCCACCTGCGTTCCGCTGCAAGATAGCTGAGGTGATGCGTCCCGGAGCTGAGGCGGTAGTTGGCTATGCCCTGTACTTCCCTACATATTCCACATGGGAGGGACGTTCCATGATGCTTGAAGATTTATATGTCCGCTCCAGTCAGAGACGCTTAGGGGTTGGCAAGAGGTTGTTTGAGGCAGTAGCTAAGGTGAATAAGTGAAACCAAACTTAATTCAAATGTAACATATAAGGTATGACTATAATCCATTTTTGCTTCTAGGAAGCATCATCTACAGGGTGTAGCCGCCTTGATTTCCACGTCCTGGAATGGAACCCGGCACGCTCCTTCTATGAGCACAAGGGTGCGGTCAACCTGACCAACACCGAGCAGTGGTGTTACTACAGGCTCGCTGGGGAGGCTCTCAAGAAATTTTCCTAAAAGTCTACGAGCTAACAAGGCAGAAAGAAAAAACCAGTGTTGTGCACTCACTTATATATATTTTGTAATATATTATACAACAGACTTCTTTTTGTACACATAGTTTTAGTTTATATTTATTCCAAAGTTGAGATGTGTTAAGGTATAGAAACATTTATTTCGCCAATTTTACTTAATTTCAGTTGTTTTAATATAAAGCTTTTCCCAAACAATATGGGTAGTTGTGTACAGGCTGTGGGAAACATTGTCTCTATAAGGCTTAACTTAGATTTAACATAATTATACCAAACACTCTGTGATACAATGTTCACTGAACCATAAAAGAATAAACAATTTTAATATAAATTTCGAATATTTAATTTCTAGCTAATATGTACATTGTAAATGCCATTTATTCGAACTTATATAAATAAACTAAGTCACATTATTGTGTCCGGTTGCCTCACTAGTGCTCACTTCACTTCATGCAGTAATTGGCTAGTAGTCACGTAATCAGGGCAGGCTTTACAAACAGTTTGATCAAGTAATCAAGCGCGACAGCCGTCACATTAATATTTCATGATGTTCAAGATTTGCAACAAGAAATATTACCGTATCACCAATAAATTCTTATGTTTTCGGCTTACTCACGTAATTATTACGAGGAACTCGACTAGTTTAGTTGTAGCAGCGCGACAGTCGCCGCGTCGCGGGTCGCGAAATGCTGCTCATGAATATGAGCCTCTAGCGTGGCTTGAAACTAGTTACGTTTACGTCAAATAATTACGTGAGTAAGCCGAAAACATAATAATTTATTTAGTACGTCTCACGAATGTATCACCGATATGTTATGTCGCGAAAGAGAGACCACTTTTCTGTACATAATTGTTTTTCTTATACCGCCTGCCCTTGATTATTTCAATTTATATAAACGTGTAAGATAAAAGTACGTACTTGTAACAAATACGATCGACTGGTCGCACAAATATTTCTTACATGTAGGTACAATAAAAAAATGCTTGTAGGTAGTTCCTGATACCTGCGGGAAATATACGAAGTTGAAGCGCAATGTTTACGTGGAATAATGTGAATACTGTTTGACTTATTGACTAATAACATAATTATACATCTAAATGGCCTTATTTACAAGCTGAGATACCCTCAGACTACGTTACACCACGCACTATGGAGTGATCAGTACCGGCCTGAAAGCAATCCCCTGAAATATCAACGATATCTGTATCAACTCCTGAAACATTTCTAATAAACAATCATTAGACTAGTTTTTGAGATTACGATTGTCATGGAACGTTAAAGTAGATATTTAAATAGTTAATACTTGCGTTACCATCGTGTCAGTCAGCATGGCAAGGTGCCTCGGAGCGACTAGGTACAGGCCGCCCACGCCTCGCTACCTGCGGCCTCCGGCATTACGTTACTCAAACTACTCTGCTTACCTACTTAATGTTACAACTAAACTATGTACATTCGATTGGTCGGAACTCAAATACAATATTCTAATTACATTACTTTGTCGATTATTTTAACTAATGGAAGTTGACATTGCTAGTTTCGATAAATAGGTACTAATAGACTCAGGGTAAACATATGTACCCAGACTGCCGTAAGTCCATCTCCTAAGTAAGTAGGAGGAAGACGCCACACCTAGCGAGTTGTGGTGTCTGTCGGGCACTCGAAGGTCGCGGTAATCACAATCGTCAAGTAAACAATTCGATCACAGCTTTAGTCCACAGCAGGAACAACCACTTCGAGGTGTCGGCTAGTTAGCAGTGAGCCCCGACGGACCTCCGCGAGTCCGTCGCGGCGACAGCGGGAGCACTCAGCGCGCGTCGCGGCGCTGCTACGTCGACGCCATCAGCTTGGCGTGCGCCGTCACATTGCGCTGATGTAAGAAGCCACTGCCTTCCTCCTCCTCGCTATTGCTGAGACCATACTGGAAACGAAAATTAACATTTTAAGTACATCAACATTTTTAGGTAGATAAATGGAATAGATGCTATATTATTAGGTACACATTATGTGACCTGAGTGATGCTGGAAGAGAGTAAGTATCAACCTGTAGCGCGTGCAGGTAGTGTTGCTGCGAGTGGTAGTGCGGGCCGGAGTGTGTGGGGTAGGACTCGTAGCCGTTGGCATTGCTGGGCTCGCTCTTGATGTTGAACAGCGACGGGTTGGACAGGAAGGGCGCGGCCGGCAGCCCCAGCGGGTACTGAGCGTGCGCGTGCCCGGGCTGTGCCTGCGCGTGCGCGTGCGCCTGCGAGTGTCCGAGTGCGTGCGGGTGAGCGGCGTGCGCGTGGGGCGAGGTCTCCGGCGTGGCGTGCTCACGCGGCTTCGACGCGCCGTGACTGGACATGGACTGCGTCAGCGGGAGCGGCATCTCCGGGAGACTTTGTTTACTGTCTGTAAATACGAATTCTATGTTCAGTAAATCTACAACAATACTAGATCAAAAGAACAGAAAGAGGCAAATGGCAACGTGTGCTGGGTTCCATTTTCAGATGAAAGAATTCTTTGAATGATCCACGAATGAATGTCCATGTCTGTAGTAAAGTTTAATACTTATCTAAGAAACTTAGCTTATAGTCAACTAGCACATAGAAGGTACATACCGTCCATCCCCGGAGAGTTGTGGTCATCTTTCTTGTTGGCATCCTGCGGAGGCTTGCCTCCGTTGCCAGACTTCTTCGGTTTACGCTTCCGCGTCTGAATTCCATCTTTTCGCATAGCTAGGGGCCTGCGAAAAGTACATAAGGAATTAGTATCCACTACATAATAAATAAAGCACTTATTTAAAATAGTTTAGCTCAGTATCAGTAGTCGCTACATAAGTATGTACGTACCGGTTGATTCCGTGCAGCTTGTAGTAAAGTCCGCACGCGTTGCAGACTGGTTCGCCGTCATTGTTGCGTCGCCACAGCGTCGTGTTGCGCGAGCCACAGTTGGTGCAACACTGGCCGTGACGCCGAGCTGCGGACTGCACACAAAACACCACATGGTTACAACATGACACTCTATAGAGCGTCTACATAATATAACATCCGTCACCGAAGCAAACCAAAACCATAACAGCTACCTACAGGCCAATTTCAATAAATCTTTTCGGTAATATTGAGAATAGAGAAGTATAAACTAATATCAAAATTCTGCCTCTAGTAGGCAACCTGATCTAGCCTGTTTGAAACTGGCCTATAATGTATAGTGCAATATCTAGTACCTATGTAAGTATATTATGCTCATACAAAAAGATATCATAGTCAAAAGATTCTAGATACGTGTTCTAATTTGGGAGGGTTCATTTGTATATTATTCTCGTTCAATGCAGGACGCATTGTTAAAATATTGGTGCCTGTACATAATGTAATAGGTACTCTATTATAGATGATCACCGAATAACTACACTACTACTGGGTAACCTTGATACAAACAGTGTTTGTCGATCTTTTACATATTTATGACCCTCATTAGGTTAGATACTTAACTAAGAACTTGTTACACCCAATAAGTAAGCACCTACAAAATTCATTAATGTATGTACATAGGTAGTAGATATCTGTAAGGAGAGCACCAAAACCAAGGAAAGACAAAATACTAAGAAATTTTACATGCAAGACGGACATTCACCACAACCGCGACCGACTACGTAAGGGCAACAAGCGATAGGTGTAGTGTAGCAACTAGGTACTCGTCCAGTGGGTCTGGTCGGCAGTGTCCTCGGTGAGACTGGGCGGCCCGCCATCTTGCGCTTACCATGTTAAAGCACTTAGCGTGCGCCACGAGTTGCATCGCTCGTGGAGCGCGTGGCGCAGGCGGAGCCGCCGCTCATTGGCCGAGTACCTGTCCCTATCACAGCGCCGGCCGAGATAACTAGCCGACACTGTCACCGCTAGACTCCAACACACGCTCGCTATCTGCGCCTTAACTGTCGGCGAGTCGCCCGACATCTAAACATTGTGACGGCGCGACGGCGACACGGCTCGTTACGGCGTGACGTCACCCTGTCGTACCGGTTGCTCCCGCGTCCACGCCGCTATGCTCACATGCAATTATCGATCGATTAGTTATCTCGGCGCGTTGTCTTTATCTAATTTCATCGTCAATAACGGTAGCAGTGGTTGGTTCGGGAGGTGTAACATTGGGTAAAGAACAAAACAACGGTGAAAGCGGAGTGCTACAAAGCGGGGCACCTGAAGTAGGGAGCGGTAGCGTGTAGTTTCCTAACACTCGCCAAAGCCCAAAAAGTAAGGAGTTATCTAAAGGAACCGCGTGCGTGCGACGTCGCGCGGCGGGGCGACCGCGGGGCGGTAGGATGCATGCACTAGTCTACACGCCACCGACTCACCTTCTTCATGCCCCTGGCCATGCCCTCCACACTCATCCATCTCTGCACGGTGCCCTCCTTATAGAAGCGGGTGAGTAGGTCTGCGTCGGCACCTGTTCGCAAACAGAGCGCGTTACTATGGTCGTGAGGCACTCACCAGCCGCTTGCTCGGCTTCACGAGCGGGCGGTTGACGCCGTTGATCTTGTGGTAGAGGCCGCACGCGTTGCACAGGTAGTGGCCCGTGGCGTCGCGTCTCCACAGCGGGGTGTTGTTGGCGCCGCAGTTGACGCACTCGCGCCCCTCCTCGTACATCTCCAGCACTCCATCTGTTCGCACGCTCATGTCAGTGGGACATCGCCTACGACGTGACGTAGTCAGCTCGTCACGTCTACCTCAAGCTCATTATACTCACCAGCTAGCTTAACACTTTAATGGGATATGTAAAGGCGGTACATAAGTAGCTAATAAAAGCTATGTAAGTGGAAACACAATAGTAGATATTATAATATAATCCTACAGATACTGGAAAAGACAATGTTGACAATTTTATCTGAGGCTATCAGAGTATCAGTTCCCGTAAGCAGGTCAGACGGTGGCACACGTCGGCCATGTAGCGGGTACCTACTGCTGTATCAAGTATGTGTAGTGTCGGCCGCGGCGCGGGTTCTGAGAAGGTGGAACAATAACAATACAGTTGTAGCGATAGTGAGTGATATCCTGATACCGCACCGCGTGCCGCGAACCGCTAACTACGGAAATCTAACTACAATGTAACATGAGATGACGGCACCTACTTATGAGCTGGTACGTTGCACACTAGGGTTGGGAGAACACTTCTACGATCATCACTTGAATGTCTTTAAAATACTTTGTATTGCTACCTTTTTGATTTATTAATTTGCTCTGTCCATGAGTACAGTCTACAAACTAAAGAAAGGTGCAGGTATACGGACACCGGTATCGATCCTTAATAACAAGTGCTGTGTCGCCGTGGAGTATGTACCTACAGAGTACAGTAACAGTTATTAGGCGGGTCCGCCGCGGCCGCGAACATCGGCGTTATCACTATCCGGTGATAAGGCCGCAGCCCTCACATCTGTGCGCTAACCCTGATACATTCGTTTACTGCGCGATGCTAATTGAGCACGACTTGTTGTTCATTCGATAATTCACTACACTCACCAATTAAATGCTTGGGTAAACAGAATCGCTAAATATTTACCAATTCCATATACAATCTACGGCTGTCATTATAATCAATTACGAAAAGATACAAGTAACCGAACAGTATAGTATAGTAGGTAATAATATGCATTAAGTACAAGGATTCAAATTATAACTCTTTTCAAAAAATATGCTACGTTAAAAGTTAAACGTTCTACGCTCGTAGCCGTAGCCGACGCACTGCTACGCATGATCCCCAAATAGGTTCCCTAAATAGTTACATCTATTCATGGAACCTGGACATAGGATTCCTTGTACTTGTTATACAAAGATCTACATTACGTGACTAGTTAGATGTTAGACGACTGTTGTCAGTAATCTGTAAGTATCTACGACACCTATTCTACAAACTACCTATTTAAGCATAAACCATAAACTATAGGTGACATGACTTGTCAATATGCTTCTTACAACAAAACAAGACGGGATAATTTTACGTTTAAAAAACCGACATCAGCCCCTCCTCCTTTTTTAAGTCGGTTAATTAATATACTAAAACATTCTACTAAGTGTAACAGACACTTTTATAAAAACCGCATCAAAATTGATACAGTCAATCGCGAGATAATCGCGTACAACCACACATACAGGTCACACTGAGAACCTCCTCTTTTTTTGATGTCGGTTACAAATTATTAAGAATAATTAAAAATTACTTCCGTTATTTCTGACACCCGTATGCTACGTGCTACGGAAACTTTCTCTAAGGAGTTACTTCGGTATGTTTAATGACTTTTTTTTAAAGGGGGATAATCATCGAATGACTGCTCCCGCCTGGGTGAGGCGGGAGGGATCCCGTGTCCCGTGTCAGACTCTTACTGACTAAAAACCACCCCGTTCCTTCTCCTGCACGTCGAGCTGGTGCCCCGGTAACCTGTTAGGTTCTCCGCGACATGTTTAATGTCTAGATTATACATGTATTAAGGAAAACAGAATACGTCAGAATGAATTTTGTAACTCTCTACGCAGCGTATTATGATACACACAAACAAGTAAAACGGTACTTATTTAGTAACAACGTAAAGGTACAGCCAATTTCGCAGTAATTCCAAATCAGGAAAAGTCCTATATAGGCTTAGTACAATTCTGAACAAACTTACCCAAGTACCTAATACCATTTTCCTACATTTGTGTATGCTTGTGTTATGCCGCTATTAATGCCCTGGAGAAATCTACCCAGAGATTCCCTTGTAATATTTGTCAATAGATCACAAACACGTACCTATATAGTGACTGATTAGTAATAAAATACAGGGTGTGTACTGGTTTGGTGCGCGTGATTCAGCGAGTTATCGGCCGCTCTGACGTCAAGCCTCCATGTTATTGTCTCCTGTGATGAACTAAGCTGATCGCATTCACTAATATAGGCCGTAAGTAGGTACCTACCCCATACAAGAAAGCAGACACTTACTTATATGCTTTGTTAAAAAATTTGAATTACAAGTCGTGTCACGAACAGTACAAAAATACCAAGTGATTATAAGAATTATGAAAATTAAGAAGATTTTCAAAAATCAAAATCGCATCGTTTAGTCTTTGATAGAGAATTGCTTGAAATTACATTTAACCGGATAAACATTTTTATTGTTTTAACGGCGTATGAAAGGTGACAATTCGCAAATAATTACTGATTGTAGGTAAACTTCTTGATTCGTCCAAAAGACAATCATTATCGGTTGGACAGGCACACAACAAATAAACGGACAACAATATGTTTGCTTACCTATTAAGATAAATTATGGAGAGCTTGCAAGGTCCCAGTACCCATGCATATTCTTTTAATGCTTCTGCAATAATCTGATATCTGGACTTTCTCCAACATTTTGCATTAAGCCAACCAAATGTAAGCCAACCATTTTGTTGTGTATGAAGCCGTTCAATAATTAAATATCTGATTGCTTGTTGTGGTCAAGTGGTGGTTTGTGTGACTCGAATTATAGTCGTGGTTGTAGTTTTCCTTCCTACTTTTTTGTATTAAAGTTTGTTAAACACTAACTAACTATTTGATCATATAACTATATAACAGAAAACTTTTGAGGATTGTTTCTTCGCATGCGCCGTCGCACACCGTACTTCGGTTACGGGTGCATGAGCATGGCGCTTAATTTTTAGGCTATATCGAAATTACACTGTATATTTACAAAATTGAACCAGCGCCAATAAAATCTGGAGAATTGATAAGAATTTTAATATTCATTACAATACATATGCGTTTTAACAAGTTTCCCTATACATGATCGTTTGTGAGGTAAGCTACCCATGTGTTTCCCTAAACCTAGTTATAAGTTACGTTTCCTTAGTGTAAAACTGGTTGTTGACAAAAACATCTTAGTTCCTACATCCGCGCAATATATAAATAGCATAATAATATGTTACATTGTGCGGTGAAATAGTAAATCAAAGCATATATTGGACAGTATTAAATGAAGGATGACAATAATGATATTAGTGCAATTAGTGACATATGATTACATTTGAAGCCGACAAAGTCTGAATTGTGTTTTAAGTATGACTTTATGACAAGGCGAAATACAGTAGTAAAAGGTATGTTACCGTATGCGGTGGGTCTCTGCAGCGCGTCGTAGGGCGCGCACCAGGAGCCCATCACCATGTTCTGCGAGTACAGGCCGCCCGCCACGCTGCCCACGCCGCTCACTGCGCCGCCGCCCGCTGCACAACAACAACACTGTTTACACATCACCGCCAATACATTGCTTCAGCGGTCTATTAGACTGCAGACATATCGAAATATGCGGTTCAAGGAGGATGAAGATCCCATAACATTTCTGGTTGAAACAGGAAAAGAAACGGAAGACTTTTACATCCCACTTCACAAAACGTAAAAAAATCACGAGGAGTTCTAAATCGACATTGAACTCTGTAGTGCATATCGTCACAAATCAATCAGTAGGTAAAATACATTAATTTTAGATGTTACAGTTAACGATGTGACATGACGGACCTGCAAGCAGCGCCATGTTTTGTAACCAGTTGACGGGCAGTTGCATCGCGTCCATTGTCTAGTAGATACGGTTGCACACGTTGCTCGATAACACTTGATTACTTAGTGGCTGTGATTGATGCGAGGTGAGTGTCGCGACCTGCGCGGTCAGAGGTCACGCTAGGACTGAGTGCTGCGCGCGCGCCGCCCCGTGTCACCCGCCGCACGCGCTTATCTTCGCTGATTCACGGCAACCTTCTGCTGGTTACGGTGACTGACAGGTCAATTCATAAACTTTCAGCTTGGAACGTATGTTATATGTCGCCTGTTTTCCTGTTTTGTTGTTGATTACAATTATTGAAGCAACTACAATGTACATGTGTATGTATGTCCCTATAATTCGAAAGTATCCCTCTGATACGTAGACATGCTTATCACACACATATGTATCAAATGCTTGAAACAATAAAAAGCTGCAATAGTTCCACGATATTACACCTTATGCTTATGTTTTGCCTTCGTGTAGCTTTCAGTTGTGAAAATATTCAGGGTGACATTAATTCTTTCATGTCACTTAGTAGGAGGAACGAAGGGTACAGGTTTAGACTCCACCTTTTGTCTGAAATGAGTGAGTATTGTTCCGTGATGCATGACATGCCGACTGTGCAGGGCTCGTTGTAGGTTTTTCCCAATCTTGGTGATGGAAAAATTGTTTTTCTTTGCCAATGCAATGGCGTCTTTAAATAAGATCGCTGTCTCTCCTGGCTCGGGGCACAGACTGCTCCCGATCAAACAAAAACAAGTGTTTATCCTGTATAGGGGAAAATCATATCGGAATAAGCTCACGATACTGAATCATTCTGCGGTTACAGACTTCGCGCAAATACTGATTGTGGCGGACGCACGCAGCGCCTTGTGATACAGGACAATTGTTTTGTAGCTCTCTAGCATATGTACCTAAATGTGACATCGCATTATGTCACCACTCATACTGTAAGAAACTAAAATAACTACATTACTTGTAATAATTTAGGTACCTATGATGGAAACGATCATTTATTTAAACACAGGACCCTGGCTGGGGCTGCGATAAGATACCACAATTATGTTAAATATATTACTGATAACCAACTATCTGACAATACGCCGCTATCGAATATTTTGTAATTACCATTTTATCTCTGTTCATAATTCATTTGTTAATTCCTCAAGTAGCTACGAATAGAATATACAACACGCTTACACCGGCCTTTGTTACTATTTATAAAATCACGTAAATATAAGTTGATAAAAATGTAGTTTAATTATATACGTCCCATATAACAGGTAATATACCGTATGTACATACTTACCTATACGTATAAAAAGATAATTTTAGTTCATTAGGCGGAATAAACTGATATTAGTTACTGGGAAGCAAGTTGTAAACACGATATTACTGTGAAATATCAAGTTCATAGTAATTTAGTTTCATTCACAGTGTGGAGTGTGGTGCCCTCGATTGGGGAGTACGCGGGGCACGCGCCGCTACTTCTGTAGTCGGGTAAATCCCATCTTGGATCACTGAACAAATTATCCTCTCGCGTCAATCGCTAGTTAGGAATTATGACATTAATTATAGAATTTTAGTTATTGTTAACTCGCTGATAGGGAAAATTCTTGGTAACTGTTGTTATTCAGTTTTTTCCTATAACATTTTGTTTTGTATGAATTACAAGTTTGTTAGTGGTTTTATAGTGGCATGCGAGTGAGACAGCAACAAAATTGTGGTGTTGTCTCATGTTCTATGCTTTCAGGAAGAAAGTATAATATTAATCGAAGTGGTTATGTTAATTGTGTCGGCGATAGTGAGTGTTTATTTACCGGGCAGGATACTGATACATGTACCCAATTAATTCAAACACATATAAGTGTTATTTTGTTTCCTACTTGATCTGTAACGCGGGGTTCCCTAGTATGGATGTGGTACCGGAGTACCTCACATAGTACTGATACAAGAACAAGCCACCCTATGTAATGAAAAGCTAAGTTAAGAAAGACATATTTTAATTGTAATTTCCCTGAATATTCATGATATGTAGTTGTTAGTAGGTACCTATACTTGTTGTTTGTTAGTTCAGACAGAATTAACTATGACACTCATTTCATTTGACTAATTTCATTGTCTCTTCACACTTTCAGGGAACTGCTCACACATAGGTACAGAAACATTAAAATAGCAGCCGTATCATAGCATTATATCTATGCATGTGTGCGTGTGTCCACACTCCACTGTCACACGTCGCAAGGTGAACATGATCATCACATGTCGTGTAGGCACAGTTGGGAACGCCTATCTTTTTAAAATGCATTTTAGCACATTGTCTTCATCTGTTGATAAATAGTGTGTATGTATTCAATAGTGCATGTTTTCCAACTGGAAACTATGTTGCACTACTGAACAGTAGCTCCACCCTGTAAGAGCGTTTTCCCAAAATCCCCATATTTGGTTTCAGGGTCGTAGTTATGTCCTAGGTCACCGAAAGTTAAAATTAGAGTTGTGCCTTCTTCTTTTTCTTATAGTGTAATTTTCTTACGAAGGTTGGCGATCATTATGTTTACGGCCACTGTATATACTGTAGAATATACTGCTTAGAACACTGAAATGATACTGCAGTGGATACATTGACGGAGGTCAAAGATTGATCGGAAAGAGTCTGTATTAGGAGTTTCTCATGATGTATCCCAAAATTTTCCAGCATTCTCGTTTTATTTGTCTTTAGTAACTCTAAATCCTTCCACATTCGCTGCAGAACTATTTCGTTACGTATCATATGCGTTTGATTTGGTTAGTTAGTACATACATATTGATTTCTGACAGTCCTGTGAGTATCGTGTATCAATGTAACCGCGCACGAGTAACGAGACAAAGGCAGTGATTGCTCGCGGCTCCATGCGAATTCCAATGTTATCTGTGTTCGATACGAAGCAGTGACTCATCATAGTTTACTTGTTATTTATAAAGCGGTCGCTTATCGACACATCACTCATCGCTCCATTTGTCTCAGCGTACTAATTGATTTGTTGTTATGACAATAAACGTCGATTAATGTTGTATATTTAGCACGCAATGTGACATGTAATATTTAGCGGCTCAGCTAGACTTGTCTTGTGTTTCGCTACGTGTGTGAGGTTACCGGAGACTCCCTCCCTAAAGGCTAGCCAATCCATGAGCAGAACTGATTGCTTACCCAGGTGGGTGTTTGCATATGAAGTTACATGATAACTAAGATCTCCCAGTGATAGATTCCAATTGGGTGAGTACAACTGTGACTTGGCGTTTGCTACAGGGTACTTTTCTTATCTTTGCTTAAGGGATCAAACTTGTAAGATCCACGCAAAACCTGTTGAGGGGTTCAAGTTCACCAGATGTTGCCACTAGTTCCACTCGTAGTAGCAGTGGTAGTGTACTGACCGTAGGTGTCGTGGTGCGTGGGGTGGTGGTGGTGCCAGACGTTCTGGTGCGGCGCGAAGTGCGCGGCGTACTGCTGCAGGCGGCCGCCGCCCGCCACGTAGCCGAGCCCGTACCCGTCCGCACAGTCGCCGCCGCCGCCGTTGTAGCCGCCGCCCACGCCGCCGCTGCCTCCGAACATGCTGAGCAACTGCGCCTCAGCGCGCGTGCATCACACGAACACCTGTAACATAATATCTCATTAATAACATGTAACAATTTGTTGTCTAAATATGTAACTATGTACATAGATAAAATATTGTCAATCCCTGATCCGGGCAGCTAATCCGTCGCAATTACATGATGACAACTTGATTGAGTTAAATTCTTAACTGTATGATACATATGGGTTTTACGGTAATAGTTATGCATTTTACTCCTCAAATACCTATCGATCTCATCTGGGATTAAAATGGTCAATCACATAATAAATAAGCTACGTGACTACGAGGCTAGGTAACTACGTGTTCGCAATTATGGTGCTACTAGCCTACCACGTCTACCACGTGGCTGTAAATATCACAGCTTTGTGGCTATGTACAACGGATTAGGAAAGTCAAATTATCCTTATTGGGAATGTAAATTACTAAATTTTCAATTGGTAATTACGTAAATGGTCCTAGTAGGTAAATGCCTATCTACTATTCCGTAGTATACAGGATGATTTGTTATTCGACCATTATCTCGTATAGGGTCATAGAACAGATCATTTCCAACATTTTTGTCTAACAAAGGGATAGGCAGATATGAACAGTTATTAAAATATATAACTTTTATTGTTAATTTCAAGATGTAGCCCACGGTAACTCTAAACCTGATAAAACAGCCTCTAGTACTTTTTTATTAATCGGTACTCCTCTAGTACTTGGACTGAAGTTCAGTGGCGGCATGACGTTCAAATTCATAAATGATCTCCTATGTTTTAAAATTAAATATTATAAGGAAATTGATAACCATTGGGGTAGAAGATGTGGGATTTCAAAAGTAAACTTGTAAGTTGAACTTCATTATTTTACTACCTAGGTCCATTGTTTGAAAATTTAATATCGTTGGCATAGTCCAGGTATGCTAAAGTTGTATACCTCATGTGAAAACTTAGGTAATGTAGATGTTTTCCTAAAGTGCACAACAATTGTCACAATATTTTTTTAAGTTAGAGAGATATATTTGAGCTTCAATCTTGGAAAAAATTCTTATGTTCAATGAATTTGGGATTATTGTGTCTATAATAATGTTTAAATCGTGTATTTGAAGATTAGATCTAGTTAATAAATTAGTAAAGTAAGATGTTTGAAAAAAGAAAATTAGATGAAGTTTAATATTTTAATAACTTCATTACGGCCTTCGACCATTGTTCGATAAAAATGTTGTAAATGATCTGTTCTACAACCCCGTACGACATTATGGTCTAATAACAAACCACCTGTATGCAGTAGATACATACAATAGTTATAATGGATATAGCTACTGTTTTTCCTTTCCACAGGCGTGGTTATGTATTAGGTAACAATAATAAATTAATTTATTTGCTCGGCGTCGGGTTACTGTGAAAAAAGTAATAAATATATTTGTTTCTATTTATTGGAATAGTACCTATTTTAAGTATTTGTTTCATTCAATGTTAACGTCAGGATAAAAGGTCGCTCCTCATGTTTGTCTCCCGAGGGAGGGGACTCCTTTAGTGTTCCTACTGACATTATACACTTTTGGATAGTCTTATAGAATAGTTAAGATAGATGGTGTAAGCAGCAACTTATTCTTGGTTGATTGCCGTCTTCAATGGGCTACAGGACAGGCCTCGTCATTGTGAGGAGGGATCCTAAAGTAATTGAGGTAAATGCTCAATTAAACGATATCTTACTTATAAAGTTGTACCACATTGTTATGCGCAGCGCCGCAAGATAATGTTTGAACAACAACATTTTGACGTCAGCCTGTCGTATCGGGACACAAATTGACGTAAGAAGCCGCGCTTACATTCAATAAACAAATATACTTCATTTGTACAGTACTACGAGAACGAGGTAATGCACACCATCAACTTTACTACTACAAGTTCAACCTAATGCAGGGTGTTGTATATTTACAAACACAACTATTAATTTTGTTTAGTTCCTAGTAGTTCTGGCAGATCTGAACAGTCACGTTGACATGAGTACTAAAGACTATAAATAAAGACTAGTCATCGTGAAAATTTTTAAATGATAATTTTATATCGGGGAATTTATGCTAATTTACCTATGATAACTTCTAGTACACATACACACCTACAACCATAATGTAATTAAGCGCGTACGTGATAATTTCAGGCTAGGGATACTAAGAACTTCGGGAACATAAATCAAATATATAATTACATAATTAATAGCGAGTTAGAACGCGAAACGAAAAACGTGAACAAGTTAATTACTTTGTTAAAATGAACAACCGACTTGTGTCGTTAATTTTAATAAAGTAATTAAGGATAAGGACAGGACTTGGCGAAGTAGATAGCAAGCGAAGGTTAGATATATGTAGCTAGTGTTGTAGGACATCGGTTAGCGAGTTAGCACGTACTGGGAGGAGGTATCAGGGCGACACGCGATACTGTATTGTGTCGACGGTATTTCGTGAGCGGATAGTGCGCCTGCGCCCGCTTGATACATCGCATCGATAGCCGTGCGCCGTAACTGCTGATACGACACGTAATTATAACACAGCCGCGTGTCGCCGCCGACACGCGTGCCACTGCAACTTGCACCTTGTTACAACGTACTACGAGTGTCTTTGTACTCGCTGCACTGCAACATGTAATGTTGCCTAGATTATGGTCTTGCCACAGTGACTCCGTTACTTAATATCGCAGCATGTATTGAAACAGTATCGTTGCGACAAAACTGTGTCAGTAATGACAATGCTTTGTAATTACCGATTACATACAAATTAAAGGAAAACATGAAATGGTAGACACGTGAATACGCGGAAAATGTAAAGCTGCCACTGGTTCAATTATTGGTCGGTAACAATGTGTAAGTATTTACATACACATACGCAGGTATATGACTTGAGAAAGTGAGAGAGTATTCCAATATTTCCAATTAAAACTTCGTCTTGTTTGTCAGTTGTGGTAGCTTTGACTGACTATAGCTTTTTTTTTAAGGGGAGAAAATCATGTCGCGGAGAACTTAATAGGTTACCGGGGCTCCGGCTCGACGTGCAAAAGAAGGTGGCTGAACGGGGTGGTTTTTACTCAGTAAGAGTCTGACACTCCCTCCCACCTCACCCAGAAGGGAGCAATCATTCGATGATTTTCCCCTTAAAAAAAAAATCGTTTATTACAGTCATGTTGCGTTACAGTAAAAACCGATGGAAGACAATGTGGACACTATACATACTTAGTAAATAGGTATGTACATATGTATGTACATACATACCTATTTATTAAGTATGTTCAATTTACTGGGAATTTAGGTACTTAAATTCCCAATAAATTGTAGTGTTACTGAAATGTTTCCATGCCTGTTCTAATACCTATTTCTAATATTTTGTTTGGTATTTAAACATAAATGTGTAGTTGGACAGTCCGACTGACGTCATCCAAAGGAATCCGAGAATAGTGAGTGTATGGCACAAGTGTCGGGTCATAATGCCAGGACACGTAGTTGCGGCCTACGCGAGGACGAGCGTCGCACGGCGCAGGCGCGGCGTCGTCACGGACATAAGGATCACAAGCGGGTACCAACATAGTATCGTGCATCTTTAGCTCGTCCGCTAATGTTGTAAGAAGGACGGTGCGGCGGCGGTGATGGGTTTTGCATGTAAAGTGCGGCGCCCGCGCCGTCTGCCGCGCACTTTATTGTGACTCATCGCTGCGCCACTACTGCACGGGTGTATTACATTTGTGAAAGCTTCCGCAATCAATATGTGTATCTACATTATAAGATCGCATCTAATCACTTGACTGATTTGTAAAGTAAAAAAGTAGCAAGTGGTCTTTGAGGAACGAGTTGTGTCCTTAACTAGGCATGCAGAACAATAAGGAATTGTAGTTCTTATTTCTGTATGCAAAGAAACACAGAAATAGTTTGGAGATAAATAAGTTCCGTCACTCACTGTAACTCTCATTATATCATTTCAATTACAACTTATTCGTGGATTTTATTATAAATTATTTCTTTTATATTTCAATGTTTTCTACTGTATGTAGGAAACATGATGCTAATTTTATAATATTAATACTAGTTACTATAAAGAATAGTCTGAGGATTAATATTTGTGCAATATTTTTTGTACTTAAATCGTCGCTTATAAAATATTCAAGTCGTTAAGACGTGGTTCTTCTCAGGCCGTCCACTGCACTGCTTACTGCCTACGTGTCGTCGTGGATGGATCATAATTTCCCGGTTTATGAGGCGAGTGGCTCGTAACGAACCCTATTGGATGGCGCCGAGACACAACGAGTGTCGCACTCTATTTAACACTAACACAACTGCCTGCAGTAGGAGATAGCAGCGAATTACATTGTACCTATTCTAGGAACGCGCAGCATACGTTACAGTTATATTAATTACACTTATGTCATAATATTTTAAATCAATACACGATTTTTGAAATGATGATTACTTTGTTTGTTTCGAAACAAAGTTTGTGAAAAGTTAGAAAGTTCCCACTCACCTATGTATATTAGGCAAACGAAAAAAGAGGTTTTCATGCGGCAATGCACGTATGATGTAAGGGGACAATGTTAATATAGTAAAAGCGCCCTCTGTAGTCACTAATCGTTTAAGCTATATTTATACTCGTGTTTGACGAATGATCCTACTTTGTAACTACGCACAGAAACTCATAATTTTTCGACACCGCTCCAGTCATGTTATATTTCGTCGCTGTTGTTAATTATGACAAATAGCTAGTAATTAAGGCACGTGTGGTACTGGGAGCGTCCCACATGTCGGCTCGGGTTGCATTAGCCGCGCGCCGCCGCGCCGGCGCAGATTTATGCGCGGTCGGCGCGGCGCGATCCACTCCTGCGCAATTTATAGCGGTCGCCGTCGATTAGGCGCACCATACACACTCCGCCTGTGCCTCCAACCTGCTAAGTATTACTATTTGTGTCAGATTACGTAGTGCCCCGCGCATGCGCCGGGCACACCAGCGCATACCATCACACACTCCACAATATTCATACAGGAGACTAACAACTTGTGCCTGCTCTCAGGTTTCAGTGGAGTAAGTTATTAATACAAAGGTGTATGCATCGCTGTGCTGCTAGCACACGAGTTTAACATGTAAGAGAGACCACAAAGTATTGGAGTGGCGGTTGTTAACAATGTTTATGGCTCAATCGCTCCATGAAGTTGTACCGGCGCGTGTACACTGCACGCACATAAAGTGCGCGGACACGGCGCGCGGCACCCGCCGCCAGCGCAGTGCCGCCGACCCACGCCCACTGCCACGGACCATACATTCCACACATACTTACTTTACATATAATGTGCCATAAATGAACTAATTTTCCTACACCTTAGCACAGGTGGTACTTGGGTGCTAGGGATGTTGTTATAGTGAACTTCCCTGAAGCTAGATTGGTAACATAACTTGAAGTAAAATTAAAATAAATATAAATTACCTAGATAATTTGAGAGAGTATTATGAGTAGTTTGAATGATAAGACGGCAGAAACTCTGCACCTAACTATTTGTAGGGCGGGCGGCGGCGCCAGCGCATTCTCGGCGTGCCGCGCATGCGCAGCGCGTGCTCACACTACATGTGTGCCTGGAATGTGCGCACACGTTGACACAACATCGCTCACGTTACACCCTGAACTACTCATGTTTACTGCATTGCCATAGTAACGCAAGCAAGATATTAAATTATATATATTAAGTTCCTGTTCTTAGTGTTGCTTGTTGTACTAGTTGTGTTGGAGACATCTTTTGGTAGATAGGTTAAAAGTAAGTTTTGCGTCGAGAAGCAATTTTTTTTTTGGTGTATGCCACTAGTAACTATTGCACCTGTACAATTGTACATACCTACTGAAAGTTAATACTATAATTAGTTTTACGTAAAACATCAGCTGATGTCCTCGACTGTGTATGTAGAGTGTGTCGCGTGTTATCTCTGCTCGTCCTGTATTCATTAGCTCATCATTAGGCGCGAGCACACCGACATCGTCGTCCGATGTACATCATAGATACTATACTCCTCCGCTGGAGCCATTGCCCTTGAACTACGCTACGAATGTTCCTCACTTAACTAATTACATTGCACACCACGCACTGATATTCTACCTAACGGAGTGGAAATAGAATCCACATTGGCCCGGCCTTGGTGTCAGTACGGCTGGTCGGCTCGCGGCTGATTTACGCGATACATTAGCGTCCGTCCGGACGGACGGCCGCGCGCTATATTCGCGTCGATTTATAGCCGACTCTGAAAAATTATGCATCGAATTTATATTGCTTTCCTTTGGTCCGCCAGGCGGCGGCCAGAGGGCGGCGCCGGCGCAGGCCGCGCGGGGCGTGCCCTTCTAACCGCTACGGCGTCGTAGCACAGAGCTGCGGCAGCTGCGCGCGCGCCGTGCTGCGCAGCGCCAACTGTCGCGGTAACTCACTCGGAGGTAATCAGTAACTGCGACGCAATTATTTAGCTGATACTTTATTGTGGCATTAACTACTGTGATTAAACAGTTATAGCAGGAGAGATAGGTATTGGACAATTAATGTCATTCACTAGTTCCGTTTACGAGGCACTCGATGCCTATTCACATTCATATAAATCATGTCGTGCTACTTACATCTCGGATATACAAACAAGTTCCTATTTTACTTACGAGCCAATTAAAATCCTCGCTCTCTCTCTCTCTTACTCTTACTGTTTTTCTGTTGGCCTTTTCTCAATCATTTGTTTGTTATCATACACTGGGCACTGACTCTGAGTTTTATGTTGAATTTCAGTCTCACGTAGTAGATACGTGGAGCGACTGCTAAAGAGTCATCTGCACTAAGGGTTGTACATACTAGGTGTAATGGTTAGATCCGTTGTCAGGTTTTGAGGCTTTTGACAAACAATACAAACTGCAACTTTCTCATCATTTTAATCATCATATCAGCCACAAGGCATGCACTGCTGAATATTGGTCGCCCACAATGACGTCCAGATCGGCCGGTTGCTTCCAGCCGATTGGAAAAGGAAAATATTACAAAGAAATATACCTAACTGGAAAAACATGAATTGCTGTACATCAGTTTGAAATGATTTGATTTTAACAAAAATGTCTAATCATCTCAATCAAAATTTTATTTTGTTCGTCAAACATCTAAAGAAAAGACTACCTACTTTCTTAATATGGTATAAACAACCGTGACATTGCTACACCTAATTAGATAAATGAAAAGAATTTTCTAAATTCGGATAAGTAGATTGTACACCTAAAATACAGGCAAGCATTATAGATTAGCTACCCAATAGACTTCTAGACGAATTTCAGATGTTATCAAGTGATTAGGTGTCGTTAGATCGCTGTCGATAACATCTACTACGAGTAGGTATGACACCCAAGTTTATCTAAATATTTGCTGCAAACATCCTCATTGGTAGATATTATAATTATTTAGAAAACGATGTGTAATTTAATCTTCAAGAGATATAATCATCTAATGTGAAGATGGAATGTTTTATTTTGGCTTGTTGTTCTCACGATTGTATTCTATGAGTGTCTGCTGTGTCCGCTGTCGGTATCACGTGTTCTCACTCGAGACCAGAGAGTACCACTTTGTCATCTTGCTCTCCCGTTTTAATTTTGATTCCGCGATAACTTTTGCATAGTAAGTAGTATATTATTTGAGAGGATGGTTTTCGTAATTTTGTTTCATAACGACACGATTTAATTAGCCCGGTAAATATACGGCGATCAGCTTTTATAGTGATGACAGTCGTAAATCATCGTAGAGATTATATCTAAGTTACGGTTCCCTCCTTGACCAGATCGAACGCGTTGGTAGCAACGAAAGATATTTGTTTTTATTTTTATCAATTGGGTAGTATATAAGTTATTTTAGTTAGTTCCTGGGTCAAATATAAGTTATTTGGATTTTTCAATACACTTTTCTTCATTGATTTGACGATATACTTAATTTTTGATTTATTCCAGCATTTTTTTTAGATATAAGTGTGCTATTCGACTCGAAAATATGATGACGTCATAAGATGGTATTTCGTACAAAATTAATAGAACAGTATAGTTTTTGTCGTTTCGATAAAAGTATTGAATTTGACTAGTTGTCAACTACCGCATTGCAGTTCGTGCATTTGTGCGTGATGTGTGGAATAAGACTTGTACTGTGATTGTATCTCCTGCGTCTGGTCCTCTACGCCCGAAATACTCGCATGCTCCTACTATACTATATTACTTGACCTTTACTACTGCACTCTCAACGCGCAGTAAATCCATTAGATGAGATGTTGCTTAGATTACAATCATTACAGTTTCATGTGTTTGGCGATGCGCCCGGCAGCAACGCATCGAAATATA